CCCCCCCGTCCGACAAGAACTATGCTCGCCGCCAGATCATCCAGAGGCCTGAGGGTAGCACCTATGAAGGCTGTCCGTTACAACTCCACATCACCAAAGGCTCCTAGGCCAGAGGAGCCACTGAGCAAGAAAGACCTTCAGACACTCGAACGCATCCTCCGTGTCGACCAAGCCGGTGAACTTGGCGCAAACGCAATCTACCGCGGTCAATATGCCGTCCTCCGCAAGGATCCAAAAGTTGGACCTGTGATTGAGCATATGTGGGAGCAGGAGAAGCATCATTTGAAAACATTCGATGGACTCATCGCCAAGCATCGTGTCCGACCAACGGCGTTGACGCCACTATGGTACGCAGGAGGATGGGCGATGGGTGCAGTCACGGCTGCTATGGGTGTCAAAGCCGCCATGGCATGTACGGAGGCTGTGGAGACTGTCATTGGTGGACACTACAATAATCAGCTACGAGACACGATGCATCTTGATAACTCGTCAAATGAGTTGACAGAGCTGCGGAAGACGCTGAGACAATTCAGAGATGACGAGCTGGAGCATCTCGATACGGCGGTAAATGACTGGGAGGCAAAGGACGCTGCGGGACATCCGATATTGACGGCGGGGATCAAGGGGATTTGTAAGGCGGCTATTTGGGTGAGCGAGAGGGTATGATCATGAGTCGACGGAGATTCATCATCGGACAAACAGATGTGTTTTAATCGATATACCCCGACGATATACCCACTTCTGACCAAGATCCAGCTACTGCACGAAATTTCGTATACCGGATCCAGCTCCTCCTACCCATCCTCCGCATCCTCAGATCCCGGAGGAAGAGCAGAAAAAATAGGACCCGAGGTGCCCAGCGTACTTCAGCACAAAGCCGAAGCTTCCATCCGGACATAAGATCCACTATGTACCTGCCCTACCTACTTATTATTCTACCTAAACCGGCATTCCGCGCTAGCGTGAATCATTCACCAACCGTAAGAGGAAACAAACGCGAAATGACCCTCCCGTAGAGCATCTGGATTTGAGGACAACGTTAACTCTTATCTGCCACCGTAGCGGACATGCTAGGGTAACAGGTCTCTGGTCTCTCCCACAACATACACAAACCCACGAAGCCAAAAAAGACCCTCCCGTAAAGACACAGGTGCGCTTGAGAGAGGGAGAACGAGAGGGATGTAGAATTTTGCCTCTGCAGTTTAGCGCTGGTCTGGAATGGAGCAGTAGCTCTATTGGAAGGCCAATGAGGAGGGGAGGTGATGGTCTGCGAGGGAGACGGATCCGGTGGTATGCGTGAGAAATGAGCGAAGCACGCAAGGATATACCTATTTCTGATCCAAGAACCCGAGATCACTCCAATCCAAATCATCCACATCGATGCCGTAATCTTTCAAATACTCATCACTCCAGAACTTCCCGAGATGCCTGTTCCCCGGATCACACAGAATAGTAACGACCACCTTCCCACTCTCCTCTCCCAACTCCCTCGCAGCGCGTACGGCCGCAACACAATTAACCGCCGAACTAGACCCAAGGAAAAGCCCATCATGCTCGACCAGATACCTCGACATCGCAACCGCCTCCTCATCCGTCACCCGGATCGCTTTGTCCACATACTCCTCCCCTCGCCTGAAATTGTTCGTAATCCGATTAATCCCAATTCCCTCCACGACCGTATCAACCTGGTGCCGCCTCCTCCTCCCTTCCCTCTCCTTCTCGTCAAACATCACCCCATAATTGACTTTATTGAACAACCCACTCCCCGGCGGATCCGCCAAAAACACCTTCATATCCGGCAGCAGTGGTTTGAGATACTTTACGCAACCGGAGAGTGTACCCCCCGTCCCCGCACCAGCGACGAAAGCATCCACGACCCCACCGCTTTGTGAATAGATCTCTGGACCGGTGGTGTCATAGTGTGCACACCAATTCGCCTCGTTCTCGAATTGGTCTGCGAAGAAACCTCGGCTGTCCCTGCTTTCATCTGCACTATGCTCCTCAGCTCGGGAATACGCTCGGTTCACGAATTGTGATTTATCGACGATGGAGGCTGGACGGACTTGTTCGACGTGTGCGCCCAATGCTCGTAAGAGGTTGGATTTCTCGGGTGATTGGTCGTCGGGCATGCAGATGTGTGCTCTGTACCCTCGTGCTCTTGCCAGAATAGCCAATGAAATCCCGGTTGATCCGACTGTGCCTTCGTAGATTGTATCTGGGTCTTCGACTTTGCCAGAGGTAATGGGTTCGAGGGAATCGTTATCTGCACGGAGGTGAGATGAGACAGCGTTATGGTCGTCTGTGTTGTCTGTTGGGCGGTGGTGGAGGGAATGTGAGGGACGTAATAGCCCATTCTTCTCGGCTTCGAGGATAATGGAGAGGGCGACGCGGTCTTTAGGTGAGTTACCAGGGTTCAGAAACTGTCGCAACGGTCAGCAACTTACAACAACAACCTGTCATAGTCACATACCTCCGCTTTTGCCAGAATCTCACAACCTGTAGCTTCACTCAAGCTCTTGATCTTCACCAAAGGTGTATTCCCGATCAACCCCTCCATGCCAATTCTAATGTCTTTCTCGGGAGCGATTTTGCCATGGGACTTGATTCTTGGATTTTCGGAAGGTTGGAGGTTGAGGAGACGGAGGAGTTTGGGAGCTGAGAGGGTGAGGAAGACGCCGATGGTCAGACCTGTTAGGAGGGTTGAGCGGTCGTACGGGGTGGCAGATGATGCCGACATGCTGACCACTTGACCAACGTTGATCGCCAGACGAGATGAAGAGAAGATGAGGCTGTAGGGGTCGGTTGTGGGTGTTGTTTACGACGAGAGTCGACGTCATGGGAATTGTTCGTTTCCGTGTAACGTAGACACATCAACATAATGGGAGCCAAGGTCTGAAGAATATAAGCATTCTCAAGCCTACAGAGTCTCTAAAAAAATTTCTTTCTGTATCTTCTTCTCATGGATCTTCGTTACATCCTATTCGGCATCCCCCGCACTTCACCTGCAATCATTGAACCTTATGAGACATCCTCGTACACCTCTCTCAAACACCACCACCATGAGTTCCTCGCGATCAATACTTCGTACCCTACCACGGCATCAATGCCTTTCATCAGCCTCCTGTCGGGCCCGAGCCCTCCCAGCAATCGCAATCGCATTCGCATCCAGATCAAGACCATTCACCTCCACCCCACCAGCAGCCCGAGGCCTGAAGAAGAAAAACAATGGCCCAGAACACGACGCCTACTCCGTCGACAACCCAACCTTCAGAGACCTAGTCGGCGACGCAGCAGCCACTAGATCCCCCATAAAAGACTTCCACAAGGTCCCCATGGTCACAGCAGAGATGCTAAAGAACGAGATCCAACCACCCACGAACGTGAAGATGCTCGTACGAGATTTCATTGATGACTCGGTACGTAGTACCTCCACTCCCGAATTTGTGTTTAGCAATGGCTGATGGGTGTTGATATAGTTGTATAACCCAAACTACGGCTACTTCTCCAAACAAGCCGTTATTTTCTCACCGGAGCAACCGTTCGACTTCAACCGCATCAAAGACGACCTCGACTTCCAACGCGTAATGGGAGAACGATACGCAGAATTCGAATCCCTCGTCGACGAAGACGGGCTCATAACGCAACGACAAGTATGGCACACCCCAACCGAACTATTCAAACCCTACTACGGTGAAGCCATCGCGAGATACATCGTCGCACAATACAAATTCGAGCACTATCCATACCAGGACTTGATCATCTACGAAATTGGTGGTGGAAATGGAACGCTGATGATGAACATCCTCGACTACATCCGCGACCAAGAACCTGACGTCTACGCCCGCACCCGCTACCGCATCATCGAAATCTCCTCCCAACTCGCCGAACAACAATCACAATCTCTCCTCACCACCACCGCCTCCGTCCACGGCCACGACAACTGCGTCGAAATCATCAACAAGAGTATCTTTGATTGGGACACAGACGTCGGTGATCCGTGCTTTTTTGTCGCGACGGAGGTGTTTGATAATTTCGCGCATGATTTGATTCGGTATGATTTGACGACGGAGAAGCCTGTGCAGGGGGTTGTCATGATTGACTCTGATGGGGATTTCCACGAGTTGTATCAACCGGTGCTCGATCCACTGGCGAAACGCTACCTCGATCTCCGCGATAAATTCGCGAAACGGTCGTACGAGAAACAACACCCGCTCCGCCGCCAACCTCGCTTCTTCCGGAGACTCAAGAACGCACTCCCTTTCTCCGCGAACCTTTCCGAAGCGGAATACATCCCCACCAAACTTTTGTTGCTGATCGACGTACTCCGGAAACATTTCCCGGAACACCATCTGATCGCTTCCGACTTTTCCTCTTTACCAGATGCGATCAAGGGTGTGAACGCACCCGTAGTACAAACCCGCTACAAGGGACAAATGGTCCCGTGTTCGACGTACATGGTACACCAAGGCTACTTCGATATCTTCTTCCCCACCAATTTCGAGGTATTCCGAGACATCTACCACGGTCTAACCAACTCGACTGGTATGTTCACCCCGCGAAATTCGCTTGCGGGACTGGGAGGAGGAGCGACGAGTAAGAGGGTCAAAGTCGTCAATCATCGGGAGTTTGTGGAGAGTTGGGCGGATTTGGATGCGACGAGGACGAAGAGTGGGGATAATCCCATGAGTTCGTTTTATCAGAATTTTAGTATGGTTATTCCTAGTACGGGGAGTATTAACTAGATCCAATATAATCGAGACCTAATCTCTACCGAATGTCTGTTGTGTATGTTTAGTGAGAGCAATTCGGCTTCGCAGCGTCAGCCGGGTTAAGTTCAATCCTCTCACAAGGATCCATCCCCAACCTCCTCATCTCAACCGCCATCCCAAACAAATAATCATAGCACTCCGCCTGTGTCTTCGCCTTCTCCCACGTATCCCCCCACACATAAACACCATGTCTCCTCACTAGCACCGCACATGTCTCCGGGTATGCTTCGATTGCCTTCTCGAGACTTTCGCGGAGATCTTCTTCGTGGGCGGTGTTTTCGATGATGGGGACGGTGAGGGTGGAGTAGAAGCCGAGGTAGCCGGCGGAGGGACGGCCGCGGGGGATGCCTTTGATCATTTCTTGGTTGGAGATGGTGAAGGTGGGACCGGGGTAGAGGAGGGTTGCCAATACTGCGTTTTGGGAATGGGTGTGGATGCAGGCCATTGCGCCGCGCATACTACATACACCCCATCAGCTGCTGTACTTGTAGAAGGAGGAAGGAGGAGGGGAGACGTACGTGTAGGAAGCCATGAACAAAGGTGTGCAAGCAGAGGGTTTGAGTGATAGCGGCCGACGGATATACTCCTTCGTGCTAAACGCCATCACGAACAGATCTTCGGGCTTCAAACGCTCCTTCTGTACGCCGGATGGGGCGATGTAGACCAGATCATCGAGACGCATGGAGATTCCTCCGCCGGTACCGGTTACCCATCCTAATCTGCCCAAACATCAGAGTTAGCTGTTGATCCAGACAAGAGGGGAGGGGGAGAGACGAACGTGTAGAACAGGCGGCAAAGCTCTGGGAGGAGGTTGGAGGGGTGCGCGGAGGAGGAGGAGGTGACGAGTTCAAGGGAGTCGCTCATTTTTTGGAGAGAGCGTCTCGAGAGCTATTTTTAGACTTGGCACATGTGTCTTGCGTGATGATGCAGGGTGTCGGCCATTTCCAGTAATTATTATATAAGAAGTACGCAGAGGAAGAAGAACCCATTGGCATTGGCACTCAGTCCGCGGCCGATGTCTCCCAAGTATCAAATGTCTAACAAACGGATCCCACCGTAGGCGCACCGCCATGCTCGAGCTCGCTTCGGCGGCTCCTGCAGCCCCCACGTCAGCCGCCGAGCGCACCGAGTACCTAGGTAAACACCAATTGCGAACGAATGCTACGATAAATGCCATCAGAATCACCATCAGCTGCTGGAGGCAACTTCCTGCCAACGGGTCTTCGAATGGATCGTCGGCCTGGATCTCATTGGTGGAGTGGGCCTGTACCGCCGGCTGTGCCGACGCATACGCGGCCGACGACGAATGGCATTGGCAATGACAATTCAGCAAATCAGAGACCAATGGGGGCGGATCGGAGACCGCCACCTGTACCAGCTACAACAGGAGGTCTTCCCGGTTCATCTGTGTTCTCTGCTCTAGCGGCAACACCCTCTATTCAGAATTCAACGGAGCTCAGCGCACGGAATCACCCAGCGTACCTCCTCTCATGCCTCGACCTCCTCGTATACGCCAACATGATCTACATCTACTTCCTAGAGTACGTCTCATCTTAGTTGGTTCCTCACATGATCTCGCTAAAATGATGCGTACAGTACCTCATTCCTCCGCCTCTTAATCCGAGCATTCATCCACGCCCGCGCACTATCACCAAAACCCTTCCCAGTCCCCGATCCACCACTAAGACTCTCCTCCATCTTCTTCGTGTGGGCAACGTTTCTGTTCCCATTCATCGACCACATCATCTCCGGCGGCCCGGAAGGAGCGGAGGGCATGGGCGGGTATCTGCACGGCGGGATCGTGATCAATTTTGTCGGTGAGATGGGAAGCGTGAGTCGGTGGAGGTTGTGTGCGCTTGATTTGTTGATTTTGGGGATACAGTGCGTGATGCTGTCGCTTGTTACGATGCGCCATTATCCGTCTTCCGCGGCGTTGACTGCACCCGCACCTCAGACTATTGAGGATGAGGAAGCAGGTGTACGGACGACGAGGAGGGGGTATGCACAAGTTGCGGATGAGGATGAGGATGAAGATGATATCATCGTCACTGAGGGAGGGAAGGAAAAGGATGATGCAATACAAATCATCAACCCATGGCGAGCGATACGAATAGTTTGGAATGGGGAGGGGTCAGTGGATGAGGCGCCGACAGCGACTGCCACAACGAGAACTGCATCAATGAATCGGATCTTCTTTTCGTGATGGCGTGTGGTACAGGCGCCTGGAACGGGTGCTTGAAAGTATGGTAGGGTAAAGGCGAACCACCTAGTTATACCCATCGGGCAAACGTTTCGACGTCGACTACGTCAACGTATGATACCAATCCATCGACTATGATAGTGATGGTAATAAAGGTATGCCATATCAGATCATAGAGCAAATCGTCCAGCGTTCACCCATCCCCCTTCTCCTCCCTACCCATTTTTCTTCCGCATCCTCCACGCCAAAACCGCACTCACCGCCGCACTAACCCCCCCAACCTTCAACACAATCCCGATCGAATTCGTCCCGGCCTCCTCCCCATGCCCGCCCGCCGTTCCCTCCGTAAGTTCGGGTGAGTGTTCCGCGAGAATAGCGAAGATGATCGATGAGAGGAATGTGATGACGAATTGGGGGGCTACAATGAAGATGTTGTGGATGCCGAGGTAGACGCCCGAGTCGGTGCCTGATTCTCCTTCTGAGTTGGACTTTGTGGTGTTTTGTCGTTCGAGGTCGAGGTTGATGGTTTCTTGCGAATGTCGATCGAGTTGGAAGATAACGCGTTCGTCGTCTTCTTCCTCTTCCCTGTCAGGGTGCATCGGTCTCTCCGCTGACCCATACCCCTCCAACGAGGGTGACCGAGGCCGTACCTTCTCGTCCTGCTCCACCATCTCAAACTGCGGCCCTGGACCAGATAGTGGAGGCGCCGCGTCTCCATTTCCCATCTTCAATATCTCCTCTCCAATCAACGAAAACGGCGCCCACGTAGTCAACGCCCAACTCACTCCACAAAGGCCCACTACAACCGTCGCAAACACGACATCATGCACAAAGAACGTCAAGCACATCGCTATGGCGAACACACCCTGCGACAAAGCCCATGCTGTCGTGAGTGTTGGGAAGAGAGGGCGGAGGTAGTCGAGGGCTGTATCGAGTTTGACGCGAAGGGGGTGGCGGGCTGCTGCTTCTTGGGGGGTGAGGTCGGGTTTTGGGGAACCGACGAAGAGGGGGAAGGCGAGGGAGCAGGAGAGGGAGACGATTGAGAATAGCAGCAACGCTCGCGACCCAACTCGTCCGATTTCTCCGACTGCGTCGTCTGGTCCTACACCATCCGTACCTGTTGGGAGACCTCTGTCGTGTCGTGCGTAGACTTCACCGACCCTGTAAGTCTGTGATAAGCATATGACCTTCGAGCAAGAAGCTGCACATGACCTACCAAGTCGAAGTATAAAACAAAAACGGGAACCACCCAACCCAAGCAAAGAACTGCACAATACAGATATCCCGGATCCCCTTCGGTAGATATCGGATCGACTCCCATAACGACTTGAAGATCGTCAAGGCCGCGCTCACATCTGCCTCCTCTCTGTACGTCGTGTCAGTTCATGCCGGAACAACGAAGAACTATGCAACGTACTGTGTTACCAAAACCTTCTCTTCGACTGCCCAGCATGTGATGGCGACGGTTGCGATTAGGGTAATGACGGACATGAAGGTGAGGACTTTGAGCTGGGTATCGCCGATGAAGCTGAAGAAGCGAGTAAGGTCGATATAACCTCTGCAAGACGCCCGGTTAGTGTAAGCATAACTTATGCGTGGGCAATCCTACAGTAGATATCCCACGATACTCCCGATCCCGATCATCCTGGACGCATACGCATTCCCCTTCTCTTGCAAATGCTGTGAGTAATACGTCAGTTATCAGATCGTGTTGCAGACCCTTCGGTCTTACTCACTGGAGGCAATGTATCCACAATCAACGCCCTACACGCCGCCTGCACCGCATTAATCGAAAAATCCACCAAGAAGATACTCAATACCGCAAACCCAATCGCAGCCCCACTACTCCCTCCAAACAATATCGCAATCTCCCTCGTCCATCCGATCATCAATAACGCAATTGAGACCGCGATTGATCCGGCGACCATGAAGGGTCGGCGCCGGCCGTATTTGGAGGTGGATTTGTCGGAGAGGATGCCGATTACGGGTTGAGTTATTAGACCCGAGAGCGGACCTGCGACGAAGACGAGGGACATGAGGGATTTGGAGAGGCCAAGGGAGAGTAGGTATGGGGTTCCTGTATGGTGAGTGAGTCAGTACAGAGTTTACTGTAGATACAAAGTGATCACCACACCATAGCCCATCTCAACACTCCCTAAAAGACCAGTCAGAAACCTACCATAAAGAAGATGAGAGGGAATTGACTCACAGGTAAACTGCAACCCAGCCAACACCAATGTCAAATACGACATCCGCAGAACCTCGCTCTTCCCCTTGATCGCCGCTTGCCCAATCCATTCTAGATTCGCATCTCGTCTTGATGAGCCGAATGATCCTCCGCCTCCAACCATTGAGGTGATCAACTGCTGTTTGTTTGCTTCGTATACGGTGAGCTTCGGGTCTCTCGGTGCGCGGTCCAGCCAGCACGTCAAGATGCATGTGCGCGTGCGACAGCCGATGCTGGGGAACTCTGGGGAAATTGAGATGTAAAGAACAATAAACTACCCTAGAGAATAAATATCAAGAAGAAACGCCGGTACCCATTGTCAGTCCAAGTTCCGCTCCGTCCCGCAGAGCCCGAGTTCACCCATTCCGCCAATGTCCATCACTGTGTAGCCCTCTCCAACCCTTCATTCCCCCTTACGACCCCACCTTTCAACGACGCAATCCACCCCGTCAACCACGCTTGAACCCCGCCAACCAACTGCCCCAACGTAACCCTCCTTACAGGCCTGACATGTACCGCCTGTCCCATCCCCACAAGCTGATTCGTCATATCGAACGAGACGTAGGTCGAGGAGAGGAATGTATCGCCGAGCACCTGTCCGATGTCATACGATGAGGAGCGGAGAATGTCGAGGGTGCATTTGTTGGAGGTGGAGGAGGAGGTGTTGCGGATGAGGTCGGAGTAGGGGATATTGAGGGTGAGAGTTGAGCTGTCGTTTGTTGGAAGAGAGAATGTCAGATAAGTTGTCCTTTTCGTGAGATACGCGCAATCGACTAGATATCCCGGCAAGGATTCTTCGTATTCGGCATCCACATCGATACTCCCCGCCACCGCATCAGCGAGCTCATCCGCGAGAATAATCGGAATGGTTCCCGCATCCAAAATCGCAGTGAAATTTCCCGTCGAGAGTTTGGTGCCGTTCGCCGCCTTCACTCCCCCAACCGTGACGTAGAAATCATCCTCCCGCGCAAAGGGGATCCAACCCAACTCGCCCGTACTCGTATACACCTCCGGCTCACTCTCCCCAAATGCAATCGTCCCATTTGACTCATCCCCATTCCTCGGACCCAGATAAATCGAGAACAGTTGCGTCCCACCCATGAGACCTTGCTCAAACATATTCTCGAGCAACCCCGGCTCCTTTTCTAACGCCTGGCTTTTGGAGGCAAAATTGAGACCCAGGACACCTTGTACATCGTAGTCAAGCAGCGCATCCGTAACTAACGCAATCCGCTGACTCTCCACCTCTAACCCAGCGATATGGACCGTATCATTCATGAAATACCCCTGTGCCGTGTTCGAGACGTTCGCATACCCAATCGTAAACGTATCCGTCGCGTTCACATATGTCGAGGACAGCGAGGTGTTGAAACCGCCGTTACACCCGTACTCGCTTTCGAGGCATTGGTTTGATGTCGCGTCGAAAATTAGGAGATCAGACGATCCGGTATCGAGGAGGAGGATTTGAGGTTGAGAGGGGGTTCCGATGCCGATTTCGAGGTAGAAAGCGAGGGAGTGGAGGATGGAGGCTTGGCCGGTCGTTGTATTCGTATTTGATGATTCGGCGCGTTTTGAAAGGCGGCCGAGTGGTGGCAGGGATGAAGGGTCGACATATCGTCTCGATAACTTCATCGCTGGACTCCCGGCTCCTTCCTTCTCTTTCGGAGCTTCGACCTCGACGACTGCCCCACGCGTCCGCTCAACAGGTGCGGCACCACAAACCCAACTCAATAACAATACAGCAGCAATGCGCACAGCGCACTTTGATCCCAGCATTCTCGTAGATAACGACGGGCGTATAACGACTGTAACAGAGAGAGATCAAACAGCAGACAGCAACGAAGAGGTTGTAGTAAAGAAACGCGCTGGGCTGGGAGCTCCGGCTTGATGCGGTATACCGCCGATCCCATCGCGCTAAGATGAACCCCCGCGCAGAGACGCACGCGTGGCTGGAAATCCTGATTTAAGTGAAATAAAGATTAATGTAAAACGCCGTGATGCCAAACTTCCACGCCCATATACCAAATGCCGTATGACTCACTCGCTATCGCTGAAAAACAGCTTCTGCTTCTTGTTCTTCCCTTTCAATGCACTCGCCATATCAGGTAGATCGTCATCACTCTCCTCCTCTGCCTCGCTCTCTAAAATCTTCGCCAGGCGTCGTTTCTTGCTCCCCTCAACAGCTTTCCTAATCTCCTGACTTGCAACCGTAAGATCAATCTGTGAAGCCTTGGGCTCCACCTCTAATTCCGGCGGCGTCGGCGACCGAGCATTGATATCCCTCTCCGCCATCCCCCTCTTCGCCGGCACAGCCCTCGCGACCGTGGGACGGGCAGCCATCGCAGCCTCCCTCTCAGCCCTGACTTCATTCAGATCCAACCCCTCCCTCAAGTCCTCCACATCAACCCCTTGCAACATCTTCCAAACCCCCTTCGTCCGCTTCCCCCACCTGAACCTTCCATACTTCCCATGTTCCTCCATGAGGAGGGGATCAGTGATGCGGGGGACTTCGAACATAGTGAAAGGAGTGCCGCGCATGGATTTGAAGCGGCGGGAAAGGATCTTGTTCTCCATTTCGTTCAGGTACGGAGACTCCTCAGGATCGGGCTCATACGGCTCCGGTTCAGGCTGTGGGATCCAAGCCGCAGGCGTATCGTCCTCCACCTCCTCATGTGCATCCTTCGCACCCTTCCTCCCACCACTCACAGTCTGGAATCCCAATTCCACCCCGTCCGGCATATAAAACTTCTTCGGCGGCCTCTTCAACTTTGGTTCCCTTCCCTTCTTCCCCTTCGTTTTTGGTTCTTCCGGCTCCTCCGGCGCTGCAAACGTAACTTTCTCACACACGGGCTGGACATCCCTCGGCAACATCCGGAAACTCTTCTCGTCCTGTAGAATAAAGTCGTTGCCTTGTTCGATTTTGCGTTGCATGGTTTTGTAGTTGTCGAGGGCTTTGCCGTAGTTTGAGTCTTCTTTGCCTTCGGTGACGAGGACGACGGCGCGACCTTCGCGTTTTCGGCCTGTGCGGCCTTGGCGTTGGAGCATTCGAATAGGGGAAGCTGACGAGTCGTAGCAAACGATCAAATCGACATCACCGATATCCAACCCCTCCTCACCGATACTTGTTGCGACAAGCGTATTGAAGTCGCCCTTCAGGAACTTATCCACAATGTCGATTTGCTCCTTCTGCGTCATTCCAGCTTGATCCTTTGCGCTCGCTTGTCCGTGGAACATCGTCGGTAAGACCAAAGGCTTGTGTTTCGACAATGTTTGTAGGATATCATCAGCTGACTCACGGTAGTTTGTGAACACGATACACCTCGTCTGCCTCCCCTCATCCTTCGCCCTCATGAAATGCTCCAGCAGAAGTCCAGACATCCTATCCATCTTGGGATGTCCAGTGTATGTAGGCTCACCAATCATCTCCCTGACCCTCCTCATCAATGTCCGGAAATCCTCATTACCGATCAACTCTGACTTCAGCTTTCCAGCTTTCTTACCCCGTCCTTCAGTCTCGTTTTGGATCTCGTTCAGGTGGGTGTAGAAGGGTCGTATACCGTGCTGTTGGAGAAGCATCATCGGATGTGCAAGGGAGGCGAGGAGTGTAAAGATCGACATATATGCATTCCGCATTCCTGGGTTTTGCTGCGCTGCTGGTGTACGCATCCATGCCTCCTTTGCTTTCATCACACTGAACGGTACAAGAGCAGTAGCATCTCGAAGGCCAAACGCGTTCGCTCCATTCAGCTTCTTCAAGAAGACATCCAATACCTTAGCGTACAGATCCCTCAACTCAATGATCTCATCCGATAACGGCACAACGACCTTATCGATCGTTTTCTTGAACACATACTGCCGAATATCAAGCGAATCCTCCGACCTGATCTCGATCCGCGAGACATGGAGGTTGTCGATAACCTGCTGTACAGCCTCAACCGTACTCCCCGGTGTCGCAGTCAACGCCAATATCCGACTCATCCCACCCCGTCCCTCCAATAGTCTCACAACATTCGCGTAGGCATAATTCCCTGTTGCACGATGCGCCTCGTCAACGACGATACATACAATGTCCTTTACGTCTAGGTATCCGTTTCTAATGTCATTCTCCACCGTCTGCGGGGTACAAAAAAACATCCGTTTCGTTCTGTATGCCTCGGCGCGATTCGCGACACTTGTATGTCCCGTCATTAACGCCGTCTGGCTCTTGGGAATTCCGCAAATTTTGTAGCATGCATCCAGCTGTTGTGCAATCAACGGCTTTGTCGGCGCCATGAAGATCACTTTCGATTTCGGCGCCCAGTCATACCAGTTCCGCATGACCACACTTGCGATGAGTGTCTTTCCGAGACCTGTAGGGAGTGCACAGAGGACGTTGTGGAAGAGTGCTTTTTGGACGATGTTGAACTGGTAATCTCTCACGGTCATGTTGAGGGGGTAGATCCATCTCTTCGCAGCGTCGAGATCCAGTTCATGATGTGTAGGTTTCTCTGGTCTTTGCGGTGGTGGGGGCGGTCGTGGTGGCCTCCCGGCCCCTAACGGTCGTGAACGGGCGATTGAAGGGGATGAATGCGCCTCACTTTCCACCATCCTGGTCCCAAAGAGCGTCTGTTGCCTGAAACTGCTATTCCCTCTCGATCCGGATGACAGCGCTGCTGCTACTGGGGTCTGATCGATAACCTCATCCTCCACTTCATCCGTGAACAACGCCCCAGCCAACGCTCGTGCCTCCGCTGCTTCCGCAGCCTGGATCAACTCCGCTTCTTCCATACCATCCAAATCGAAATCCCCAAACTCATCTTCACTCATGCTGATGCCAAAAAGTCGACGAAATGGGGGGTTCAGGGCGTCGTTGCCCTCAGTGCTTGTCTCTTCAGGCGGGAAACGCGAACCGTGGCAACATGCAGCCTCGATGCATTCAGGGGTCAAAGTGCTCCCGCGTACGCGTTTTCCAAGTAGAAGGCGAAGAGGACGAACAATTTGAGAATGGCATTGACAAAGAGGAAGGTCATTGAGACCTGCAAAAAGGTCGTGCGGTCGTCTGACTTGAAGTGAGTGTTTAAGTTTGTTTGCGGGGATTGAATGCTGACCGGATCGCAGGGTTCTGACCGTGAAGACGGCGCGTGCGCAGGTTGCCGAGGAGCTTGGTGTTGACCTCGAAGAACTGAAATCAGATCAATGGAAGGACATTGTCAAAGATGCAATTCATGAGGAGGTGGACAGGTTGAACGATGAGCCCGAAGAGGAGCTAGGAAGGGAGTCATCACAAGGGCCATCGCCTCCACCGAAGATGAAGTCTGCGAAGAAGGCCCCTAAGTCACCATCGCCTGAGCCTTCACCTGCTCCTGAAGATGAAGATGAAGACGAGGATGAGGAGGTTAAGGACGTGAGCGATGCGGAATCCGATATGTCGTCCTTGATCGACGAACCCATGCCTACGAAGAAGAGCCGCAAGCGCAAGTCGACCAGCGGCTCCCCTTCAGACTCCGATGACATCCTCAACGACGCACCAAAACCAAAGAAAAAAGCCGCACCCAAGAAGGAACCCGTCAAACGCGCAAAGAAAGACTCCAAAGACTCGACCCCTGTTGACCCCGAACAAGAGAAGGTCGACAACCTAAAGAAAATCATCGTCGCATGCGGAGTCCGAAAACAATGGGTCAAAGAATTCGCTGATAAGCCCGACCTCGCTTCACAAATCAAGCATTGTCGCAAGATCTTGTCGGATCTTGGGATGAAGGGTGAGCCTACGATATCTAAGGCGAAGACACTGCGTGAGAAGAGGGAGTTTGACGCGGAGGTACAAGCTTTGCAGGCGAATAAAGAGGGGAATGAGGAGGAGGAGGAGGAGGAGGAGGAGGAGGATGCGCCGCCAAGGACGAGGGGGAGTGGGAAGCCGCCTGCGAGGAGGGCTGCGGCGCCGAGGATTAGTTTCGCGTTTTTGGGGGATCAGTCGAGTGATTCGGAATGACGAGTACAGGTATTTATTACTATATACGAATTTGGGGCAGAAGAGCGCAGCATAAAGTGAAGCGGTATCCATCTTAAGCTTTGTGGACCTTAATGTATCTTACCCGATGCTCATCTCATTCGGATTCTCCATGTTAATTTCGAGTGCGGATTCTCGCTGCGTCACGCCTACAACCAAATCGCAATATAGTCATGTCGTCATAGACTCCGCGGCAATCCCTACATAAGAGCTCATGCCATCTTCTTCTCCTCTCACTCGATTCGTGGCATTGAAAAGCGTCCTCAAAATGTCTCAATCTCCGTCTCTCAGAACCCGTCTTGGCACCTTCACCGGCGTGGAGCTCTCTCCTCGTCTCCACCAATACCGCGCCATCCCCTACGGCAGGGTACCGCGTCGTTTTGCCCGTTCGGTACCGTTGGATGAGAAAGATTATGCCCGGAAAGAGGATAGGACGAAGTTTGGACCGAGTAGTGTTCAGCCAAGAGAGAAGGTGAAGAATGATGCCAAGTCGAATCATCTCCCGACCGAAGGCTTGCCGGATGATTGGGAGCAATCTGAGGCTTGTTTGCATATGACTATCACTAAACCTGTTGAACTTACATCTGAGGGCAAGTTGCCAGTGGTCGTCTTCATCCATGGTGGAGCATTCTTCGTGGGTGCTGGTGATCGTCCATACTATAATCATCACCACTTCTGCGAGAAGGCTCTGGATGCTGACAAGCCACTCATCTTCGTAGCCATCAACTATCGACTCGGAGCATTGGGTTTCTGGGCTTTTCCTGAAGCGGAAGATCTCGTTCCACCGAACAACGGACTCCATGACCAGAAGCTTGCTCTGAGATGGGTGAAAGCCAACATCGCAGATTTCGGAGGTGACCCGGAAAACGTCACCGTTATGGGCCAGAGTGCGGGTGGAACGAGTATCAGTTTATGCAACATCAGCGATGAGAAGGAGAAGCTGTGGAGGAGGAGTATCACGCTTAGTGGGAGTATTGTCACGATGCCGACGTTGTCTCGTGATGACCACTCACAAAACTTCCGTGACCAGGCAAAGGAACTCGGGTTCGATGCGAAACTTCCGGCGAAGGAGTTGGCGGAGAAGATCATTGGTGCCGATGTCGACAAGATTAGGGAGCTTGGCTGGGTTGGTGCGCCGTGTGAAGATAGTGAACACGTTCCATATGTTCCCAGTATTTACGCGCAGAAGAAGAGAAGTACTGTGGACTGGTTGGAGGAGCAGGTTGTGGGGAGTTGCACGTATGACGGGGGCATTTCTTACATGATCACGTCTGAGGGTGACAGGAAGGACCACGCGAAGCATTTCATTGACATCGTCAATGATGGTCTCGCAAGCCTTACTAAGTTACTTGAGTTGTATGACATCAAGGAAGGTATGAGCGATGACGATGCATTGGAGTGTATCTGCCAGTTTGAAAGCGATATTGGGTTCCTTCAGTCCTCTATCGCCCAAGCGGATGGTGCTCCTGACAAGACGTTCTTCCACATCTTCAACGTTGGCAACCCGTTCGACGGTCCTCTCAAGGGAAAGACAACTCACACACTCGATATTGTTCTGCTTCTTGGTGCATTCAATCATCTCATCCCCGACAATCTTAAATCTTCCGTGGACGAATATCGTAAGAAGCTTCTCGCGCATGTTTATGGCGAGCAGCCATGGGATGGATACGATCAGGGCAAAATTATGGTTGTTGAGGATGATGGTTGCAAGGTTAAGAATCGTGCAGAGGCAGTTGGGGAAAGAATCCAGAAGTTGGTGGAGATTGCGAAGGAAGAAGGTGGGGAGCATGGGTATGACAAGTTGTGGAAGACATGCCGCAAGTGGTTGATGAGCTATGAGTAGGCTCAGCATGATGGTAAAAAGCCATACGAACATGAAACATGTACAGGTAGCGTTCTTCAGCCCGTGAGGACCTTTCTATGCGTGAGAAGAGCGTATCCCTTCAGAGGAAAAAAAAAAAAAGATTGCATCACTTATTCTGTACAAGAGACATTATCAGAACAAAGCTTTCACTTGCCTCGTACCTCGTCATTCAAGTGATAAACGCGCTCGCATGCTGTTCGTAAATGCGGTCGCGTCGTCTCGCCTCGAGCGACCTCACCACAAAGTATACCCATCCATCATCATGAGTATTTTCGAAAGAAGCGCCGGTACTTCCAGGAAGGCAGATAAGACGGCCACTGAGCCTCGCCAGGTACCCTGGGTGGAAAAATAGTACGTCAATACCTTGTTCCTCTCGACGCAAGTCGCTGATCCAATTCTCTCAGCCGTCCCAAGAACCTCGACCAGGTCTCGGCTCAAGAACATACCATTGCAGTCTTGAAGCGCACCCTTCAGTCCTCAAACTTGCCTCATATGCTTTTCTACGGCCCTCCAGGAACCGGAAAGACGTCCACAGTCCTCGCACTCGCAAAGGAGCTTTATGGCTCTGAACTCATGAAATCTCGCGTCCTCGAACTCAACGCTTCCGACGAACGTGGTATCTCTATCGTAAGAGAAAAGGTCAAGGATTTCGCGCGACAAGCCATCTCACAACCACCACGGGGCTCGACCTACCCATGCCCTCCTTACAAGATCATTATCCTCGACGAAGCTGATTCAATGACGCAAGACGCACAGTCCGCACTACGAAGAACGATGGAGACATACTCGAAGATCACTCGATTCTGTCTTATCTGCAACTACGTCACCCGTATCATCGAGCCACTCGCTTCACGTTGCTCGAAATTTCGATTCAAACCTCTCGACTCGTCAAGTACCGTTGATAGGGTACGGCACATTGCAGAGACGGAGGGTGTATTGTACGAAGATGGTGTTCCGGGTGCATTGGTGAGGACTGGAGAGGGTGATATGAGAAAGGCTATCACGTATTTGCAGAGTGCGGCAAAGTTACAGCATGCTACACCTGTTGCCAGCGAGGATGGAGACGTGGAAATGGGTGGAACAGGGTCAGGAGGAAAGGTTACCGTTCAGGAGATCGAAGAAATCGCTGGTGTCGTACCAGTCTCCATTATCGTTTCGCTGCTGGCAGCATGCGAGCCTAAAGGGAACTCGAACGCCAGCGTATTTTCGCGGGTGCAAAAGGCCGTGGACGACGTTATCGCGGAGGGATACTCGGCAAATCAATTGGTGCTACAGATTCATGATGAGATTGTGAAGAGCGAGACTCTGTCGGCAAAGCAAAAGTACAAGATCGTGGACAAGCTAGGAGAGGTAGACAAGAGGCTGACGGAAGGAGCTGATGAAGGACTGGCTGTGTTGGATATTTGCTGCAATATTAGCTCGATCTTGGCTACGGCATAGATTGAATCTCCGAGACGAAAGAATCAATTTGGATTATGTGATCATGGCTCTTCCTAAGCGTCGTGCTCCTCATCATTGTAGCAAATTTATCATATTTTTCGGACGCCTAGTATACAGCCCAATAACCAAAAGAACACCTCAACCGATGATCTTACTCATACCCATCTCACTCCATCTATCTTCCCCATCACTCCCTCCAGTTAGTCCTTCCTGTCGTCATTGAGAAAGGAGGTAAACTTTTGGTCCGTCCTTTTTAGAGGTTTGATTTTTGAGCCTCAGTCTGGGGCCAGTGGTAGTCCATGTCATACCTCTTGTAGCCGTAGCTAGCCACAAACTCGTCCAAGTTCGCCGGACCGCGGGAACCGTACTCATATGGGTCGGGCTTGATCTCCTTGTGCTCCTCCAAGTAGTGCAACAGCGGGGTGAAGACCTTCCAGGAAGCGTCGAGCTCGTCGTCACGGACGAAGTTGGAGTGGTCGCCCTTGAAGCAGTCAAGGAGGAGGGCCTCGTAGGCCTCGGGGATGGCGAGGTCGGAGAAGCGGCGCTTGTAGGTGAGATCGAGCTCGGTGGTTGCCGCGAGCATGGAGAGACCGGGAAGCTTGGAGTTCATCTTGAGGTAGACGGACTCGTCGGGCTGGATACGAATGACAAGCTCGTTACGGGGGAGCTCCTTGAACATACCAGAGGTAACATCGTTGAACTGGACACGCATCTCCACCTTAGCCTGGTCAAGAGCTGCATAGAATGGTTAGTCACGTCGTTCGTTTCAAGTTAGCGAGATGTCACGTACCCTTTCCGGCCTTCAAGATGAAAGGCACGCCGTCCCAACGCTCGTTCTTGATGAACATAGTCAAAGCGGCGAAGGTAGCGCAATTAGATCCCTCTGGCACAGTGTCATCTTCCAAGTATCCGGGCTTAGATCCATCAGCGGACTTGGTGTACTGTCCAATGATAACGTCCTTGGGGTCGATCGGGGGAATAGCCCTCAAAACCCTAACCTTCTCATCACGGATGTCCTCTGGCGAGAACGAGATCGGCCTCTCCATAGCCAAGATGGTCAACACCTGCAACAAGTGGTTCTGCATAACATCGCGGATGATACCGATCTCGTCGAAGTATCCACCACGGCCCTCAGTACCGAAAGGCTCCTTGAAGGTAATCTGGACGTTAGAGATGTAGTGGCGGTTCCATGTGGCACCCAAGAAGGCGTTGGCGAAACGGAGGATGAGGAGGTTCTTGACCATCTCCTTACCGAGGTAGTGGTCGATACGGAAGATCTCGTCCTCATTCCAGATGGGAGCGAGAGACTTCTGCAAGTCACGGGAAGACTCGAGGTCGTGACCGAAAGGCTTCTCGACGATAAGGCGGGCGATACCCTTCTCGGGGTAGACATTCTTCTTCAATCCCTGCGCGACGGGGGTGAAGACGTTGGGCGGCAATGCCATGTAGAAAATACGGTTCGCCTCTCCTCCATTCTTCTTCTCGAGCTCCTCGCACTTCTTGTTCAACTCCTGGAAACCCTCATTCTTGTCGTAAGCACCGGCTACATATGAGCACATGCCCAAGAAGGACTTAAGCTTCTCCTCAAGGTCGGGGGTTGGGGTCTTGATGTTGGACTTGACACGCTTCTCGAACTCCTCCTGGTCCATCTTGGTACGGGCATATCCGATGATGTGAGAGTTCTTGGGAAGGTAGTTGTTGCGGTACTGTAACACTGTTTGTTAAAATTTGATCCTGGATCTGATAAGCGACGAAAGTTGACATACGAGACCGAACAAAGCAGGAAACTATAGATCGAGTTAGTAAACCATCCAGAGAGGCCAGATCAAGCGGGATCGCGACGTACAGTCTTCTTCTTCGCCAAATCACCGGAAGCACCGAGAACGACGATGGTAGCGTTCTCCTTCAACTCAACCTGTCCACCCTCCTCACGAGTCTGAGATGCAAGCAAAACGTCGGCCATTTCGATTGAGCTATTCGTTTATGGTCCTGGGGGGGTTCAGGGTTCTTGGTGGAGGGTCGAGGTTCGCTCTCCCAACAAAAAGCGCTTCGCACGATGACGATAGACCGGCGCGGTAGATTTTGCGCCGCGATGTTCCGGCCGCAAGTGTTATCAGCGCCATGACAAATCAATCCGAAATTGTTGTTACTTGATTCTAGATAGCGGCTTGATAATTACGGGAAAGGGCATGTATTGTTACGCTCTGTTGCTGGGCCATCTGCCGAACAGAGGTCTCGTTCGAACGGCCTCGATCGACGTGCCACAGTCAGCTGCACCACGTTGAACGCCCAGCGGTTCATCTTAATATCATGTAGAATCGAAGAAGTAGCAACCGTAAAACTCCTCTCTTCACGTCGCATGCTCCAAATGCCCATGCCCATGCCAACGCCGACCTCAACTCCCACGCCTGGGCGCTGCTCGCTACCAATCTCCCCAACACAACCACCTACGAAAACTTCCACCTATTCCCACACACAGTACACGTACAAAACGTCGTCATAGGCTCATCAGCAGATCTCGTCTGCATCTGGTAATACGATACCTTCCTCTCCTTACACTTTCCACACTGAAACAAATCCGTGACCGCACCCGTGTTCGTCGCCGATTGCGCCAAGAACAAATTGTGTTCCTTGATCTTTTGTGCTTCATGTTTCTTCTCTTCTGATGCGAGCTCGTCTGGTTTCATGTTCACAAGTCTGTCCGCTTTGATGCTTCCATTGAGGACGGCTTCGCGGAGTGCCGGGTTCTTCTTGTCTTTCAGGTTGAGGAGAAGACCGCGCATTCTGTCGCGGTATGTTTTGTTAACTTCTTTTCCAACAAGGTTGTACATCTCCTCGTCGATCTTCATCGCGCACTTCAAGATGATTTCCGATGCTATTACAACTTTAGTCAGTAATTTCTTCAGACGAGGATCATAGAGAATGTGACAACGCACGCGCAGACTGGTCAAACGCCAACCCATCATACATCAACTTGATACACTGATTCCTCGTCCGGTCATCCCTACACATCACCTTCGACGCAACCCCATCCGTCTCCACATTCCTAACCATCGACGGCGATGCTCCCGTCGTCGCTTGTGAGTTTGTTTTTGACATCGGCGCCGAAGGTGTAGCAGACTTTCCCGAAGGTGTAGCAGACTTTCCCGAAGGCGTAGCAGCAGCTGAAGGAGAAGGTTTGGCTTCAGCGGGCTTCACGACGTTTCGCCATACTCCGACAAGTTCTTTTGCGGCACGGGCGACGGCGTCGGACTTGTGCGTTCTCAGCTTTCCAACAGCGACTCCGATCCTTGTATCCTGTACTTCCAAGTCAGAAACGGCCACAAGCCATGAATGGAAGAAGAAGTACCCTCAGCAGCGCCTCAGTCGGCTTGACACCCTTCTTCAACTGTACGATAATATCGATGACTTCCTGTACACCGGATTAGTCGCCATTCAAGTTGAGCAGACTCCGAAGTACCTCGTTCTTCCCCGTATCGACAGCCTTTTGAAGCGCTGTCTTCGCTTCGTTGATTGCTTTGACGTCCATAACGGCTTAGTTGGTACAGTAGCAAGTAAATGCGTCCACAGAGGAGATAGTTATAGCCGGATCAAAGCTGATGACAAGGACTTGACGACGGAGTAGAAACGACAAGAGGAGCCGTTCTATGTTGTCAATATCCAGATGCGGCCTTCGGTGTATCGCGAACTTCCATACACTTTACTTCAAGCCAGGGCATGTACAGGCGGGGTGCGTGCCATAAAAGATAAGGGAAAAAATAGAAACTGATTTAAAGGTAGTATCAGGTATCACGTATCAAAAGTCAACTTCTTCAGTGTCCCATCCTCTCTATACCCGTCCAGACAATCCCTTCACAACCTGACTCTGCAAACTCCTCTCCCTCTGACTCTCCGCCAACGACCCCACGCTCCTCAAATCATTCACGATATCCTTCGTTTTGCCAAAGTAGACCTCCTGCAACAGATTTCTCATCTTGAATTCCATGTCTTCGACCATACGACCGATGTTGGGGATATGTGATGCATCATCCTCGACGGAGAGGTCTTGCTCCACTTGACGAGTCATGTTTCCGCCGAGGTTCATCTCTCCAAGCGTATCGGACTTGTTTTGCATATGGAGGATCACTGTCGATGTGAGTTTGTATTGGCAGGTTCCGCGCTTTCCTTCGATTGCTTCGAATACGTGGATGGAATCCCAGCCTCCGTCGCCCTTAGAGGAAACTGTTCGAAGAAATACGTTAGCGAGGCTTGACGCTACTTATAACCGGCATTCCGAACCTTTCTTAAGTAAGACGACCCCTGCGAAACCGTCATCGATATCCCAGAAGTATACACTCGAGATACCTCCTTCGTAGTATCTGCAGTCCCAACCTGTTAGCCATTGATAGCCACGCATACATCCAAGACACTCACAAATCCCTATACGTATCAAACGCGTCATTGGCCAAAACCTCCATCTTCCTCACCCTATCACTCGGCTGCGTTCCATCACTCAATGGTGGCTCATACTCATTGCTCCACGGTGACCTCGTCGAGTCTCCGTCGCGGTTGTAGTCGCAGACGAGGTAATCACGGCCGGTGGCTTTGCAGGTCTTGATCTCGAGTGGTTGGTCAACGGAGGCGAGGAGGTCTTCTTCGAGATCGGGGACGAGGGAGCAGAGGGTAGAGAGGTTCTCGGAGGTCTTCTTCGGGTCGAGACGGCGGAGGAGGTCAAGGGCGGCGTCGAGAGGGTCGGACTGTACCAACGGATCAGTATTTCTATTGTAGACGGAGGGTTTTGCTGGTACCATGTCAATTCAATCAAGAGCTTGAGTCCGGAGATATTGTTGGGTGTTTGGATTTCAGGGGAGTTGTGGAGCAGGCACTGTACACCCTGTGACGTCGCGAATCATGTCTGGGGAGTTGCGCGGTAGGTGACAAGCGACAATGAAGGCAACAAAAGGAGGAGGTACAAATACCGATGAAAGAAAGCCTCGTAAGCTGTTGTACGCTGTTTCCTCTGCAACTGATAGAAAAGCTTTATGCAAGAGTTGCAAAAGGGCGAAGCCCGACGTGGGGGTCGAACCCACAACCTTGAGATTAAGAGTCTCACGCTCTACCGATTGAGCTAGCCAGGCAGAAGATGTTGCTAAAGTCGCCATGTCAAACTTGAAAGCCATTTGCCAATGGGATCGAGTCTTTTCATCCTGTTGCGTCCCTTTCCTGCTCTGTTTCGGAACAAACAAGCCCTCCAGCATTATGTACTTCGTACCACTCAATCTAAGTGAGCTGCACATTTATGACCATGATGCACCTGTCGAGGTCTGGCAGGCATCCTCTAGGATCTGAAGCTGGGGAGTCGAGAGGCGTGTATATAGATAGCTAAAACGCCATATGCATGTTGATCTACTTCCTGCAGAGGCTCTGCGCTCCCTGAACGATCAGTTGTTCCCAGAACATGCAAACTCGAACCTACCCGCGGTGCAGTACATCTGTCCCGTGGGAATTCTCATCAAGGACTTTGCGCAAAACCGCACTGCCGTAACAAGCTACGAGACGTACGCCGTGCGAGCGATGTCCTCCCGGTCGGTTGCCCTCTCACACAATATATTGAGACCTGACACATCGTCGGCAAGCTCATAGGGACGGAGATCTTTCCCGTTCGTGAGACATCGGTTTGCCCCAGTACTGGGTGTTCCCCAGCTGAGCTGGGAACGTCGAGGAGCTTGAGAAGCTCGAGTGCCACTTCAAAGAAAGCTGCACGACGATTTACCAACGTAGCGAATGCTAGACAGGAGCAGACACCGGACACTTCTGTTGGGACTCAACATGCTCGACCATAATCTCTACATGTAGGCACAATATACCAGAACATCAGCGTGAGAACGGCACGCTGTTGAGCGCAAAAAGCGCAAAGCCCGACGTGGGGGTCGAACCCACAACCTTGAGATTAAGAGTCTCACGCTCTACCGATTGAGCTAGCCAGGCGGGAGATTAATTAATCTCCCGTCCATAAACACATAACCGCCACGACGACGATATCACGAATGTCAATGAACCAAGGACGTTTTTGCTGTACACCATCTTGGGGTTGATACGTACTGCTGGCTCGTATTCTCATAGTGCCACATCGCTGTCAGTATACCCGAGTACACCTGTTGTCTTACATTGTCGTTCCGACACTTAGTTATGTGTGGAGAGGTCTTGCCTTGACAGGTTCCCAGGCCTCTGGAAAGACGTGAGAACTCTCACAAAGACACCGATGCCTCTTGTTAACTCATTAAAACCATAAATTTTTCCAGAGAAACGAGTTTTAGGTTAATATGTTGCTCAATGTGATCGTTGATGAACTTTATGACCAGCATACGCAGGAAGGGATCATGTGTTACAAGTACGTATTCGCTAATGCTTTCACGATATGCCTAATCTTAGATTACTTCGACAAAATGGCCGCCATAAGGTTCGGATCATCCACATCAAAGTACTTCGCCACAGAAACATCCTCTGACAACCCCTTTCTTCTCCTCGTCTTGATCATGAAATCCCTTGCCAAATGCTGTGCTGTCGCCGGTTCCAGGGGTCTCAGGACGATGTTCTTGTCAAGTGGATCACCAGGTACGATCTGCCATCTCTGATCAAAGACTTGCTGGCAGAATGCTTGACCTTGAGTCTGCGTGCGCAGATCTGTCTCGAAACCGTTCGCGTCGATGACGGGAACGAATGCCTTCACGGTATACAAGGGTGATCCTGGTTTAGGAATATCCTGCGTAACATGCCCTCTTCTCCGTGCAAGAACGTTGTAAACAGTCGAAACACAATCCGCGGGAGCTTGCACCTCAACTGCGTACACAGGCTCCATTAACCGAGGAGTTGCCGTCAAGAATGACGAGTAACAGACACGTCTCGAGGTTGGGATGATCTGTCCACCACCACGGTAAATAGCCTCCGGTGCCAGTACTGCGTCCAAGACCTTGAACTTGACGTTCCTAATGGGCTCATCGCAGAGCGGTCCTTCTCTTGTACCCCATTGGAAACCTTGTCTCACCGACTCCCGAACACTATTCAGCAGCTTCTTGTCAACCTCGGATGGCAAAGTGTCGTCCTGCAAGATGTTCGGGCCCTGGTCATCAGGTCCAAATGCCCAGATCGATCGACTAGCAAGCAAATCCCACTGATAGTTCTCCTCGAAGAACTTTCCTACTTGTCGGATTGGCCACTTGATGTTGACCTTACCCGACTCAATGTCTTCCGCAATACCCTTATCCAGAGGCTCCGCAACCATCGTCAACTTGTTCTTCTTGTTTGGCGTCTCGGCATAACATTTCAACGCTGAAGTCTCCACCACCGTCTCGCAGAATCGTACAACTGGGTCAGAAACCTTCAACTCAATCTCAGAATACAACTTCCGCAAATCGTGGAGAACGCAATCCATGTACAATTCACCAGTACCAAGCACCACATGCTCACCAGACTCCTCCACCTTCGTCGACACCAACGGGTAACTCTTGTTAATCTTCCTCAATCCATCCAACATCTTCGGCAGCTCGGACGGATTCACCGGCTCACACGCAATCTTCAATACCGGCTGTGTCATATGTCTAAGCGGACTGAAGATATAAGGATCCTCTTCCATGTTTTTCGACACAATCGTTGCTGTCTTGACGATCGAGTTGTCAATGCCGCCGAGCAATACCCAATTACCTGCCGGTACCCGATCAACAGGCACCTTGTATCGTGACTCCGCGATCCAGACATCTCCCACCGTGGCCACAGCCATGTCTTCCTCATCATCCAAAGTATAGCCCTCTCCAAGAACACGTACCTGCTGTCCTCGGCTGATCGTACCGCTGAATACCCGTCCAAGGGCATGAAACTCGGTCGCCTCAGTGTTGTTATACAGCTTCGTGATCTGAATCATCAGTGGAGCATCAGCAGAGGCGTCACACTTCATCATCGCCTCAGCAACATCGGCATCCATCGGTCCAGTGTAAATCCTCTCAACCTTAGCCTTAGCTGCCTCCAGCGGTGATGGGATGTGTTCGACGATCATGTCGACGAACCCTGCCGCACTACCGAAGAACTGCTCACAAACGGCCTTCAGCAGAGGCCTGGCATCCATCTTGTATTGGGAGTCTTTCAAGTGGATGCCGAGACCAGCGAGAGTTTTCCGTAGCGTGACCTTGTCCTCACCAATCGTCTGACCGTAGAGCTTGAACAGTGGTTCGAGGATAAAGTGAACGAACGTGCGCTTCGAGTCGGAGCCCTGAGACTTGCGGGTGAACTTCCGTGTTGAGGGCGTGTAGTAGATGTCACCCCAAAGACGCTTGGCAAAGTCCTCGACGACGATGCCAGGGTAAGTGTCCGCGTACATCTTCGAGAACGACTTAAGCGAGAAGATCCAGTGCATCTGCGTCGAAGCAAAGCAGACATTGCCACGCTCAGGGGATAATCTGTTATCCTGACCTGGTGCTACACTGTTGATAATGGTGTTAACCTCCTCAATTGTATGCTTCAACTTGAAGTATGCATCGGCAGGCGGTAGCTTCAGCTCGAGAATCAATCGATCTACCTTGTTTATGACAAGCACCAACGGCAGACCCTCACCGAGAGCATGCTTAATCACCTGTTCCGTGTTAATCATGACACCCTCAACCGCATCCACCACAAGGACAACACCGTCCGCCAACCGTACAGCCGCAGCCACCTCGTCGACGAAATTGACGTGTCCTGGAGTGTCGATTATGTTGAGAAGATGCGACTTGCCCTTCAGGTTCTGCATGACCAAACTCATTGGTGCACTCTTGATCGACATAACCCGCTCCTGCTCCAAGTGGTGCGTGTCCGTATATCTCAGAGGCTTGTCGACATCCACCTTGACTTCATGTGTCTCCGCAACCAACGTATCCATCAGACTGGTCTTTCCGTGATGCAAATTGCCGACAATGGCGACATTCCGTACCTGATCAGGAAAGTTCATCAGGTCCATCATGTACTCTCTCGAGTAGTATGTCTCCGGCAGATCCGTTTCCTCAATTGCGAATTTGCGGTGCTTGATAGGCTGAACAATTGGCTCCGTCAAAGGTTGCGCATCCTCCTCCTGAACCAATGCTTCAACGTCTTCTCCATATACTTGTTCCGCCGAAGGATAGTATTGCTTGTCTTCATGTAATACCACCGCGGTGGAAGTACCCTCGTCAACCTCCATAAGCTCATCCTCCGCAGCTTCCGCACCGTATCCTTCTTCCAGATCATCAAAGTCATCATATGCAGGCGCATTGGCTGGCGGCGACATCATCTCCTCATCATCGGAATCGTCCACGGCACCGCCGATGTAGTTACCGAACTCATCGTAAAGAGACTCATCCATGATCCGCAAAGGTCTATGCTGGAATGAATGCGCCGGATCGAATTAGGCTTCGCTGAATGCCGAAGGTCCTTACTGAGGTTTCGCGTACTTGAACCACCTCGAACTCGCGACTATGGCCCCGGCGCACCAGTAAGGCACAGAGCATACAGTTGCCGTGAGGTGAAAAGAAACAGAACGATATTATTGTCTATGAATTGAATTCTTCCAAGCACGTTTCAGAACATCTGACCCTAATTTGACGGCGGAATGCACCGGGGCCCATCTCGGCCCCTGAATGGTCCCCCCCAACGCCCCCGTACCGTACGCGCCTGTATAAACAGCGCCTGGCTCCTCGGCTGATCAGACTCACACACTCCTTTGCGCACCCTCAATCATCTACAATGGCCTCTACTCGTCCCGAAGTCTTCATTGCGGCCGTCGCCCGTACCCCCCTCGGATCTTTCCAGGGTTCTCTTTCCAGCTTGACCGCCGTTCAGCTCGGTTCGCACGCCATTAAGTCCGCCATTGCTCGCTCTGGCATTGAGGCTTCCGCCGTCGAGGAGTGTTTCTTCGGTAATGTTCTTTCCGCCAACAACGGTCAGAACCCCGCTCGTCAGTGCGCTCTCGGAGCTGGTCTCCCTGACACCACTGTCTGCACCACCGTCAACAAGGTTTGCGCCTCCGGTTTGAAGGCCATTATCTGTGGTGCTCAGTCTATTATGACTGGTGACGCCGACATTGTCGTCGCTGGTGGTACCGAGTCCATGTCCAACACTCCTTACTACGTTCCTTCCGCTCGCGGTGGTGCCAAGTACGGCCACCAGCAGTTCATTGACGGTATCGTCCGTGACGGTCTTACCGACGCCTACGATGGCGAGTCTATGGGTATCGCCGCCGAGCTCTGCGCTTCTGACTACGAGATCACCCGTGAGATGCAGGACGACTACGCCGTCAAGACCTACAAGCGCGCCCAGGAGTCCACCGAAAAGGGTTACTTCAAGGAGATTGCTGAGATCGAGGTTTCAGGTGGCCGTGGTAAGCCCAACAAGGTCATCTCTCAGGATGAGGAGGCCAACAACTTGAACGAGCAGAAGCTCCGTTCTGTTCGCCCTGTCTTCAAGAAGGACGGTTCCGTTACCGCCGCCAACGCTTCTCCCATCTCTGACGGTGCCGCTGCCGTTGTCCTTATCTCCGCTGCTAAGGCCAAGGAGCTCGGCATCAAGCCCATTGCTAAGATCCTCGGCTGGGGTGAGGCTGCCCAGAAGCCCTGCCACTTCACCACCGCTCCCGCTTTGGCCATCCCCAAGGCTTTGAAGCACGCCGGTGTCGAGGCTTCCCAGGTCGACTACTACGAGATCAACGAGGCTTTCTCTGTCGTTGCTCTCGCCAACTTGAAGTTGCTTAACTTGACCCCCGAGAACGTTAACGTCTTCGGTGGTGCCGCTGCTATGGGTCACCCTCTTGGATGCTCTGGTGCTCGTATCGTTGCTACTTTGACATCCGTTCTCGAGCAGAAGGATGGTAAGATTGGTGTTGTCGGTATCTGCAACGGTGGTGGTGGTGCTTCCGCTGCTGTCATTGAGAGGTGTTAAAGTTAAGGATGCTGGGACGAGAGTGTATTAATATGGACACATAGGTAGCATGATCTCGGATATACCACTTAATAGATTCATTTTGGTTTGCTTCACAACTCCAAGAAAGGACTGTCCTTATTCTTCGTATCTCTTAACTCGCTTAATGCTTCTTCGAAGCAGTCTTCTTCTTCTTTGCTTTCCGTGCGTCCTTCTCCTCTTGTCTCAGGATATCCTCCGCAGTCTCGGTCTGCTTCCTCTTCGAAGTGCTGTTCTCATTCCGTACGGCAACAACACCAGTTTTCCCCTTCGCAGCTGCAGACATGGTCTTGGCAGCCGCATCCCAGTCAGCATCCTCACCAGCAACGGCGTATTTCTGCAAGTCGAGAGAATTGATAAGCTCCCTCTGCTTCTCCTTCAAAGCCTCGGAAACCTCGTCACCGGCCTCCTCGAGATCATCCTCCAACGACTGCTGAACGGGAGCGAACTGCTTGTTGATCTCCTCATCCTCCTCGTCGACGACCTGTGCGAGCTTCGTGCTCTGCCCAGGCAGGGTCTGCTCGATCGATCTAGACTTCAAGTCACGGAAGTGGTTTGCAGCTTTACGGATGATCTTGATGAACATAGCCAACACCTGGTTGGAAGGCAAGTTCAACTCGCCGTGAAGGTCCTCGACAGTCTTGCGCTGAAGACCGAGGGCGAGAAGAATAGATGACTGAACACCGGACAACTTGAGATCAGAGCTGAACTTACCAGAGAAATAAAGCTCGGCGATGGTAGGAAGCATGTCCACAATGACGTGGTAGTCAAGCATGTTGTTGGCGTACGACTCCAAACGCTTCAAGTCATATGGCGAGAAGAGTCTGTCCAAGTCGTCCTTGGTGAAGTTCTTGATGTCCTCCTCGGAGAACTTAGCACCCGCATCAGCTGCCTCCATGATGCTCAAAGCAAGGATAGCAGAGAAAGTGCGGAACTGGTAGGACAACAAGCTCGAGAACCTCTTGTGGAAATCCTTCGAGAAAGCACCGAGCCAAGATCCTTCACGTCCCTCCAAAACCTTCAACATAACGCAAGTGTGCTCACCCGTAAGGTCGTTGGCAGTTTGTCTGAGGTAAACAGGGACATATCCAGCCTTCTTCCAGAACTTGTGCAATTGCTGCGTCAAACCATACGACACTCCCAAGTAGTGCAACGCATCCGGCTTCTTCTCGCTGAGCTTAAGAAGCAATGGCGGCATGCTCTTAGGATCGCGGACCTTGATCTCCTCAGACTGCAAAGCAGCCTTCTCGATCTCATCCTCAGATACACGAAGCTTGGCGTCATCATCCGCCATCGGCTCATCCTCACTCAAGCTAGTGAACTTGCCCTCGTAAAAGTCATTCAACAAATCCAACGCGCGGGTACCGTATCCCATCTTGACGAATTCCGGGCTGGTCGCGATACGAACGACACGTGCACCACTCAACCCAGCAAACTCCTCATCCTGGTACTGCTGAGCCACCAACCACGGAATAAGATCACCACCGGCACGCTGTCCACGAGCCAAAGAGTTAAGAACGGTCTGCTTCGAGATCTCACCTTCCAACGCGACCTGGACGACACAGAGGGGCTCAGGGAGCCTGGAGTCACCATCCTCCACAGGGGGGAGAAGAACGAAAAGCTGATGTGCGGGCGCATCAGAAAGAAGCTGCAAGTCGTTCGGCGAGTTCTTGTAGTGAGACGCGACATACAAGGCCATCATCTTCTGCAAGAAAGCCTCGGAGACAGGGTGATACGAGAAGAGCGTATCACGGTTGACGTAGTACAACTGACAAGTCGAAGGGTGAGGACATCCCTGAACAGCATACCTGGAAGAAGGGGCAGCAGAAGTAGCATCCAAACACAAAAGCTTGTTCAACCACTTCTCAACCGGGTCACCAGGTGCGTAACGAATCGGCTCCTGAAGAACGATCTCGCGCAAAGTACGACCACCAGTGGACGACGACGCCTCACCATCCTTGATAGCCTTACCCTTACGGTCGACGGCCACATCATCTGCCTCGGTCTTCTTACCCTTACCGACGAATCCACGAGACTGCTCACGCAACTGCTGGATCAACTTCAAGGACAGGGAACGACCGGTACCCTCGTAACCGTTGATCGTGGAAGCCATGAAGACCAAGTATGGACCAACCAACTTCCTAACCACAGGCAATGGGATAGCAGCAGCCTCATCAATAACGACCAACTCAGCCTGTCCGAGCACGTGAGCGTCCTTGGGGTCAATGTACTGAATCGTCTGACGGTGGTTGCGGAAGATGTTAACACGAACAATAGCCTTGTTGAAAGCAGGGTTGGTAGACTGAATGATGTCGTAATCAAGATGCTCGTCATACTTCAACCCATCGAAACCCTTGAAAATGAACTCAAAGAGCGTCTTCAAGTTTTCTGGTGAAGGCGAGGTAATAAAGATATTGGAGTACCCATGCGCAACAGCCGCAGCGACGGCAAGACCGAGTGCCGCAGACTTACCCCGACCACGACCAGCCGTCAAAGTGACGGTACTCCTCAGCGTCTTCTCCGCGATCGCCTCGACAAAGGTAAGCACAGCCCTCGCCTGATCCACAGTCCGTGCCTGGGTAACCAAGGCGCCAACAGGCTGGGTATCCTGCAAACTCTCCTTCAACTCCTTCAACTCCTTCTTCACCCCCGAACCCTCCACGTCCTCCGGACTCACAGGCGGCAACGGCTTCACCGTCTTCCCACCCGAAATCGGCAACACGTTAAGCTCATCATCCACAACCAAACAATTCTCACAACTCCCAAGCGACAACAAAAAGCGTTCGTTAAACCGCGCAGTAACGTCATGTCTCGACTCCGTTCTGTACCTGGAGTGGATATCCATCGACATCGTATACAACTGCTTCAAACTCTTCATTGTCTTGAGCATGATGACCACAATACCCCCACCCTCCACAGTCTCGACCGTCCTCGCCAACAAATTCGGCGTGAGCGCCTCGAAATCCTGTAATACACACATACCAAACGTCTGACCCAAGATCTTCTCGGTTTCTTTGTAGTAGGTATACCTGATATCCGTAACGCTGACGAACAACTCGAATGGATCCTCGGTGTTTGCGTCACGGATACCACGCTTGATCTCCTTTTTGATTTTTTGTTCGCGTTTTTTGCGGTGGGAGGTGAATCCTAAGAGTTCCTTTTTGTAACACCATAGGACGTTGGGACGAGCGGCGACTTGGGATTGTGAGAGGAGCCAGTGGAGGTTGACGATTTGATCCCGGCCCTTATCACCCACCAACACGAAGAACGAACGTTGCTTGGTCTACACATCCAATCGTAAGTGTCATGGCCAACCAGAGTGGCGATTGACGCTTACCTGAACACCATTCTTGATCAACGTCGGAATACGACTATCCAAAGCTTTCCTAGGCATCTTCCACCCGAGTCAAATCGAATGAGACTTGCCGAAAGCTTCGAAGGTCGTCGAGGGTGGTTGGAGTGTGCGAGTCGCAGAAATCTGGCAACACGTGATGCCGGATAACGAAAAAACGCATGGTCGCAACGCACGATAAGGTCGCCCACTTAAAAATGAAGACGAGAGTTATAAATAAATGGATTGATACCGTACACCTCATGCACTCAACTGCTTCATCCTACTCGCCGGACTCGCCGCAACGACCCCCAAAAACTTGTCCCTCACTGCACTCTGATACGCGCCATTCATCGCGACCTGCTCGATAACATTCTTCACCCACCCGGGCCTCCCGTCCATCTCTCCGAATACACCAGTCCCATCCAACTCGACCCTGTAGTCACCCGAAACGGAGAGCGCAGCGATTTCTTTGGTACGCGCTTCGAGATCTTTCCAGTTCTCTTCCTTGTAGGAATCGATCTCGGCATGCTTCACACTCGGCGCACTCTTCATCAAGGCGGCGCTCAACCCGAGTTTCGAAGCAGGCGTAGCAGGTAACTTGTCGTGAAGGGTCGCGAGGGAGATCGTGGGTAGCACGTAGTCTGACGGACCCGGCTGTCGGATGGAATCCATTTTGGGTTTCCTGCCGTTCCCGCCGCGGAGGATGAGGGGGGAGTTTGGGCGGCGTGGTTGTCTGTTTCTGGAGGGTTGGGCCATGATTGCGTTTCGGGCGACGAGAGTTTTTCCGGCTCCTGGGCGGGGGCGCGAACCCTGGTAGGCCTGTCCACGGTCACCCTGGTAGGCCTGTCCACGGTCACCTTGGGGGCGCGAACCCTGGTAGGCCTGAGGACGGGAGCCCTGTTTGCGATCAGCCTGAGGACGACCAGGCTGTCCACGCCGAGGCACCTCTACAGGAGGGACAGCAGACAACATATCCAACTCGAGCGCAGGCGTAGGGGCATCATCGAAACGTCCAGTCTCAGCTTCCTTCTTCTCAGCACGCTCCCTGAAGCGGTTGCGGGGGGAGTTGTTGTCTGTGTAGTTGGCGTGCGTGCGGTGAACGGAAGCACGGGTCATGTGCACGAGATCGGCGAGTTTGCGGACTGAGCGGGAGCCGGTGGCCGAGAGGGTGTTGACTTCGGGCAGCGGGGCCGTCGTGTTGAGGGCACGCAGGTGCTGGGGCAGAGCGGCGAGGGCTCTTGGGCGGATCATCGTGTTAGGGTTGAAGTGGTCGTTGATTGTTCAGGCACGGCTTGATTGCATTTTGCAGCCCCTGCAGAATTCCCACGCGAATCCATCTATTCTATCGACTGGCCTAATCAAAGCTCAACATGCGAGAAATACTCGGACGCCTCTCCTCCGTAAATCAACCGCTTCCACAAATTCACTGGCAGCTTGACCCAGCCCCGCACGATATGCCTCAACGCTTCCTCCACATTATGGAACTCGATCCTGACCTCTTCTTTCACTTCCGCCCAGGACGGGATGACCGTCTTCTTCTCCGTTGTGTTCGTGCTAACACTCTTCTTCCTGCTGTCCCGCGCCGGCTCGATATACACAACCTCATCCTCCGGCAACCCAAGCTCCCGTCTCTTCAACCTCCTAAACCCATCAACAGCTTCAACACTCCGACTCAACCTCCCAAACGTATTAAACAACGCAACCAATTCCGTCCTTCTCAACCCACCCACACTACCAACACTAGGCTGCGGTGTACTCTCGTCATCGTCATACTCGAATAAGATCTTCAAGGCGGTCCCGTAGCCAGCTGTTTGGAGTTTTCCCCAGAGCCGGCATTTATCGCAGCCGACGCAGTCCATGAGGCGAGACACGTTTTGGAACCGAGTGCGGAAATCTTCTTTAAGGGCGAGAGCGGACGAGTCGACGCGTGGGTCGAACATGATCGACTCGTCGAATCGGATTGGGGCTTCAGCGACTGCGGTAACGAGTTTGTCCACTTTTTCCTTTGTGAGGGAGGACTGCGCAGAGTCGGTACCGCAGTACGTATACGTATCGAGGTACTTTTCGAGTTTTGCGATGGCGCGGGCGACAAGGACGTAATTGAAATACAAGTTCTCGATACGATCGGTATGGTTCGCAACCCTCTTCTCGAAACATCGGAGGTTTGGATACCACTCCCCTGTCATCTGATCGAGATACTCCCAGCAAAGATGCGTCGAGATAGATGCGTGCATACCAGAGATAACACGATAAAAGACCCGTTTCTCGAGACAGACGTCTTGTTCTTCGATGAGGGCTTCACGGGAAGCTTCGCCGTCGTCTTCGTCCCGCGCGACTTTGTGCTTGCTGTACTCCATCACCACCTGTCCCAACCCACTCCCCGGAAACCCTCCAGTCCCACCCTCCCCCTCATGCTCATGCTCCTCACACCCCGTATGCCTCCCCAAATGCGACGGAAAACAATTCTCATGATAAATCGCCCTCCAAATCGAATGCGCATGAGGCCCACCATATCCCGTAAACCGCTCAGGGTTGTTAACGAGGGAGACATACACGGCGTCCGACGAGCCCGCTTCCTCGTCTTCCGGGATACAGTAGTCCCGGTCGCAAAGACCGTCTTCTTGGACTACGCAGGGTTCGGCGACGGAGGGGCCTAGTGCTCCTCCGAGTGGTTTGTACTCGTTCCCTTCCCGTGCCCCGGTCGCGGTGTTTGCGTCTCGTACAGGAGCGTGTCGAGCTGATGGCCCTTCCAGTTTTCCGAGTGACCGCATCCTCCAGACCTCCGGAACGTCATCCTCGTCATCAATCGTCTCAACCGCACATGCCCGATTCCCACATAATGCGTTGTGATCACTTATCCACGGACACTTTGCCTCATATAGGTTTAGGCGGTAGTACCCGAAAAAGTCGGTATGCGTGGTGAGGTCGTGGATGAGGGGTGCGATGTTGGTGTTGACAGTATCGACGGAGGTGAAGGAGGCACCGCAGGCATCGGGGATTTCGCCTTTGGGTGGGCAAGAGCTTTCGTTATGGAAAGAAAACCCGGACACGTACGTTCTTGGCGTGGAGGATAGTAGGGCGAATGCGGCCAGCGCACTCGCTAATGCGTTGTAAGCGTTCACCATTGACTAGACACCTGTGATGGTGATGGGAATGAACAGACTATGGGTGAGGTGCAAATGCTGGTTCTCGAGGTTTCTTATGGAGATTCCACGTACGGGATTAACGTAGAACTACGGCGCGCATGAGCAGCGCCCGAGAACGGAATGCTTGGGCCGCCTGTCGCCACTGAGATATCAAAAGGGCGAGTGAAGAGAGGGCAAACTGAGGACGATAGAGTGATTGCAAGAGGATTTGGCGACATAGAACAGCTTCAATTAAACCATTTTCTGACCCTGATTCGCTTCCCTGTGGCTGGTGTGTGGCTCCCTCCCCGGCCTGCCGCAGGACTGCATGCCGATACGTACGGGTCCATACGTCGACGTCGCACACCTCCTCCGTCAATCCCATACCATACAAAATGTCAAAAGTACAAACGCCAGAACTCAAGAAGGTTGGTAATTGGGTCTCTTGCCTTTTGCCAGGCAATGCTGACGAATTATCAACAGTACATGGACAAACGCCTCTTTGTCCAACTTAACGGAACACGAAAGGTCGTGGGCGTGTTACGCGGTTACGACGTTTTCCTGAATATCGTGCTGGATGATGCGGTTGAGGAGACGAGTGATGGTGGGAAGATCAATATTGGACAGGTTGTTATTCGGGGGAATTCGGTTGTGATGATGGAGGTATGTCGAAATGGTTTTAAGTGGTATCCCATGTCATGGCGAGCTAATCCTCTTGGACAGGCTTTGGAGCGTATCTAGACGATGCATGTCAAAAGATTGAGGCGGCGATTGGCGACTTGGTATCCGTTCAATGGGTTGTAACGGTGATGGAAGAAGGCGAATGTGAACATCGAGCTATCAATAACGCGTTCTGATAGACATCGGTGACGAAAAGGGGTGACGAGGTTAGAGAAAAACGGCGCCAAGGAAGCGCGAAGCGCCGTGTTCTATTTTACGCTTATCTGGGTTTCTGGAATTTCTTTCTTGGTGGTGTCTGGGTTCTTTCTTACAATTGGTCTGGAAAATACACATAATGATCCTCACACCCTTCTCGGGATCAGCAGTTTGAATTAAGTAAGCAGCAAGCATCAAGCTAGCTGTGTAATGTAAGAGTATCGGTGACCATAATGTAAGAAGTCTGAGCGTGTCCAAGCCAATTTATGCAAAGCTCTACTCGTCTCCCAAAGTCCAAATAAACGCCTGTCCCAGAATTTGCATTTGACATTCACAAAGCAACGTGACGCACCGGCTCAACCGATGGTCTTCGTCTTCTCATCCACACTCGTCAACGGCAACACAGGCTGCGGCACCCTCGCATTACTCCTCGCCTTATTCTGCATCTCGACTCTCGCGTACCAGGCTCCACCAAACAACGTCAACAAAATCCCAAAAGCGTTGAGGCCGCTGATATGCAAATGAAACATCCCAATCGCAAGGACAATGGTAAGGACTTGCTTCACGTTCGCAGCAACGGTCATAGTCACAGGTCCCACCTTCTTGTTCGCGGTGAAGGAGACGACATTGAGGCCGAACGCGATAAGGCCGTTGATTGCGAGGCCCCAGGTAATTGTTGTTTGTTTTCCCATCGCGGCTTGGCTCTCCCACCATTCGGGGAGGCTGGCGAGTTCGCCGGTGACCCAGGCGTAAGCGACACTCTGCGCACAAGCCAAGGGCGCCATACGCAACAATAGATCAAGAGGGTGGAACTTGAGTTTGCCGGTCAAGATACGGCCGGTGAGAACAGTCTTCAGTGCGGCGAGGATGGCGCCGAAAACGGTGAGGATGAGACCGAATTGGGTATAGGAGTAATCACCCGCTGTCGCGAATCCGACACCGCCGATGACGGGGACGAGGGAGAGGTAGGTTTGCTTGCCGTAGGATTTGCGGAAACAGACGATGGAGATGATCATTGCGAACAAAGGCGTAGTCGCACGAACAACTTGGTGGAATGGAACGGTGACCAAATGCCTGCGTGTTAAGGTTAGCATTCGTCCCCGTTCCGATGAACCATAATACATACAGTGACACGTTCGAAATCGCGATGTTAACGGTATACAATCCGCTGAACCCGATCACGCTCGCCCACTCCTTCTTCCCCAACCCCTTCACCGGCTCAAACCGTCCAGCAGTATAGAGCGCTCCCGCACCAACAGCGCCAAACAAAGCATGGATAGCCGTCAACAACCACGGAAACGGGAAGGATATCAGAGCGCGTTTGTTGTAGAGCGTAAGGGCGAGGTTGAAGAAGAAGTAGATAGTGAGCCAGATATACTGGTTCGAGAGGGTAGGCGGGCGCTCAGGGGTGCTCTCGCCGGTTGAGCGGTTGTTCCATTCGGAGAAAGAGTTTTCGTGCTTTTCGCGGCCGGGGGTGGGAGGGGGTGTATACTCGCTACGTAGCGGGATAGAAAGTTGCGGGGCGCTCATTACTGTTTGTCCGGATGTTGTAGGTCAGGTCGTCTTCTTGAAGTTTCGTGTATCGTTTTAGGGATGTATGCGGGGCGGAGCCAAGAACGGACCGGTGTTATGGTCAAACCAAGGAAGTCGTGGTGTTAAAGGAGTGGACTGAATGCAGAACGCACGTTTTCGTATACGAGATAAGCGCTCACGCTCAAAAGCTTGGCCGTAGTGGTTGGTTTGTCCAGGTGTTTGGGCGGTGTACGTGTATTACGGGAGCGGCTGCGCTTTGCATACACCTTGTTGTGGAGGCTGTGTGCCCTGTATGCCCTGTGTGTTTGGAACGCGCCGCCTTGGGCGTTGATCTGCAGTAATGAAAGGACCAATGCAGGGAGGGCGGGAGAAGGCGAATGGAATGCCCAGTTGGTCTGGAGATGAGGAACGTGAAGGCCGGATACGACAGCAGTTGACGGGAGCTGGGGGCATTCAGCTTAAATGGGAGGATGATTCTTTAGTTGAGATTCAGTTGGGTAGGCAGTGCCAAAATATCGACCAGCCTGGCTAGCTCAATCGGTAGAGCGTGAGACTCTTAATCTCAAGGTTGTGGGTTCGACCCCCACGTCGGGCTTTGCCGTTTTATTGCCGAAGTTGCTTCAGCCTCTTTGCTCTCCTTTACATGCCGTCATGATACCCGACTGGAATCGATCCGCTTCCCCGACGAAAAGCCTCGCGAATCTCGGTTTAATGTCGCTTGCTGACCGGCCGATCCTTGCTTTACGCGGTCTGCGATGGCTTCGTACGACCGATTGCCCGGTTTGGTCTAGACAGCGCTCGGACAACCACCATAACATCTTCGTTACAGGAGTACAACCGGACAGAGAGTATGCTTTTGCGTAGACGCATCGCAATCGTATCAGTTCTCGTCTCAATCTCTCTTGTCGCAGGTATCTGGTCAATTCGACCAGCAAGTCTACGGGGTGAAGCACTGATGATACCCTCTAAAGCCGTACAGGACTGCCCGTTCTGTGCGCGCCGTTTCGAAGGAAGGGTGATATACGAGGTGTGTATCTCTTCCAATCTGCTCTCTGGACGCTGCTGAAGAATCACACAGGATGATGAGTTGATTACGTTTCATGACCGGTCACCTGCTGCTTCGTTCCATGCGCTGATTATCCCTCGAGAACACATTATCTCGTGCAAGTCACTGACACCGGCTCACCTGCCACTTCGTACGTCTTCTCATCCTGTTCAAATGCCTTTTAGTTGACCGTCAGCGTAGTTCACCGCATGATCTCCATAGCCCACGACATAAATCCCCACAAAGGCGAAGAAAGCTACATGCAGCCCCGCATAGGGTTCCATGTACCACCAGTAAACAGCGTGGCACATCTACATCTACACGTGATTGTACCGCCGTGGAAGCCTTGGTGGAAGCGGATAAAGTATCCCATGGGATGGTGGGGATGGTGGTTCGAGCGGGTGGAGAAGACAATTGAGAGGGTGGAGCGACTGGAGGTGGTGCCCCAGACACAACTGGAGTGAGCGGATGTAAGATGATTCGGAAAGAACAGATCGCTGCAGGCGAACAACAGACAAAGAGACGGGGGTATGTCTAAGTGGGGAACCGCCCAGAATAGAGGGGGGTTTGGAGGAGTTGCAGATCCGGGAGGACCATAGCAGTAACAGTGGCAGTAGGGTCTTTAGCTCTTATGCAAGGATCGGCGGTCTTGCGACCTTCATGACGGTATAGATCGCACATACAACTAAAGCGTCGCCGGCAAGAATATATATGATGACATTTCGCTCCGTTTGCTGGCTCGGTGACAGTTTAGCTTGAGTTCATGTTTGGCATACTTGTTTTTCTGTCATCAACCAGCCTGGCTAGCTCAATCGGTAGAGCGTGAGACTCTTAATCTCAAGGTTGTGGGTTCGACCCCCACGTCGGGCTTCTCTTTGCCAGCCATACGACGTATTTGCTCTCTGCTTTTGTTCGTCCACAAAATGGAATTTTTTATCATCCATGGCTTCATTCCCCTAATCGTCAGTTCTCCTGGCTCTTCCCTCTACGTCACCTCGTTTCTCTTGGCCCTAGTAACGTCGAAACCCGGGGTTAACGTTTCCGCGACTACCGGGCCCGGGCTCGCTTGAGATTGCGACCTGGTAACCGCACGTCAACTAACCTTAACCTTGATCTCCCAACTTTTCCTGCTTGCTATATCTATTCACGGTACGACCATTCATGAATCCACATACCGGATCGGACGACGATAGCCCTCACCAATACTACCAATGACCGACGTGACATCCTCAATCCCAGTCCAAAAGGCCACCGCTGGGGAGTTCGATCCCACCATTCGCCGAGAACAGCATATCGACCATCACAATGAGATGTTACGTGCAAAAGCGAAGGAGCGAAAGCTGTCGTCTGATCCGTCTACTGCCAATTCTGAACAAGAGCACAAGGCGAAGCGGGTTGCGCTCCATGCAGCGTTGCAGAGGAAGGTTGAGGTTATTAAGGACGATACAGGGTTTAGGTCTACGTTGGAGAGTCTTGGACAGCTGGCACCGGTGGTTGGTATGCTCTTGGGTCCGATGAGTATCTTATTGGTGAGTCGTGGCTTCTCCTTGGTGGTTAAGAAAATGCTCATCCGTGTCTATAGGCAATCCCTTCCCTCACACAGCGATGGCGAGCGCGACTCATCAATGGTGATGAAGTGTTTCAACCGGATCCTGGAATCAATATTGTGCTATCGAGTATCAGCTTATTCTTTGATGTCATGGGCAACGCATGTCTCCTCGTCCGGTTCATCAGAGGTCGGGTATCTACAAAGATCTGGGGAATGATGATCAAAGTCTGTCTCATCTGTTGGTCATCAAAGATCATAATCAACATCATCAACTATATCATATTCAGCGTCAGGCACCCGGAAGTACCGGGTGAGATTATTTATTTGCAGGGGTATTGGGTTGGGATTTGCTCGTGTATAGTGTCGTTCATCACCGTCATCTTCCTTATCCTGAACCAGATCTTTTATTGGAAGACACGGGAGGAAGATTCAGAAGGTATGTGAGTGATCAGATCGTTGACTGCTGTCTGCTGACGTTTTATCCACAGATGATCGAGCAAGAATGGGCATCCGTGCTCAAATGTTCATGATTCAAGTCACCACTGTATGTATTACACTGATCTTCATGGAACCGAACGTATACTCATGCGGTTCTACAGTTTTTCATATGGATGGGATTGTATGTACACGATTCACTTTGAGTCTCTCTCCTAACTCATTTCTACAGTACGGCACTTATCTTCTCGAAACTCGAGCATTGGGAGCTCACGCAAGGAATATATTTTATGGTCGTATCAGGTATACAGTCCCCACCACCCTCCATGAATGGCAGTTAACATTGCTTCAGTAACAACCGTTGGCTTTGGCGACGTCACCCCAGAAACGACCGCGGGCCGAATCATTCTCTTTCCACTGGTCCTGCTTGGAATCGCACTCGAAGGTTTGCTGTGGTTTGAGAATCTTTGATGTTGTTGACTGAACTGCAAACAGGTTTAATCATTTCCTCCGTCAACTCGATAGTTCAGACCCGTATTCGCCGGCGGCAGGCTATGAACCATGCTCGCTTCCGTCTTGCTCGTCAGGAAAAGAGGGAAGAGTTGAAAGAAGAGGATGCCATGTCAAGAGGTAAACCACCTTCTCACCCTTCTGCTTTTCATGAGACTGACAGCTCACAAGTCGATTCCACGTTCGGCTTCGCACATTACAAGGCCGAGAAGACGCTGAGGGACGAGCTGGACGAACTCAGGCATGCGGAGTGGAAGTCGAGACGAATGTCGAATGTCTGGGCCTTTGCGGGAGCACTGCCGGTGTTTCTGCTGTTTTGGTTCGTCGGTGCGGCGATCTTCCAGGCCGTGGAGTCGGTGAGTATCATGCTACTACCATAAACGAGCACCTTGGCTGACTTCGTGACAGTCTTGGACATATTGGGACAGCTTGTACTTCTGCTATGTCTTCTTCTTGACCATAGGATATGGAGGTACGCAATTGCTCTGTCGTGCACGCCGTAAGTTCTCACGCGATCACGTACAGACTTTACTCCCTCCTCCAACGCTGGTCGTGTCGTCTTTATCATGTACGCTTTGCTAGCAGGTATGTTGCCGTCCTTTCGCTGCGTTCTCGCAATTTTAACCTGTCTACAGTGCCGATCATTACGACCATCGTTGGACTTATCTCGACGCAGTTCATCACAATTACAGATGTGAGGCTACAGAAAAAGCGACTGGCTTTTACGCATCACAAAACGGTTTCGTTGAGGAATCTGGTCGCGAAGGAGCATGAAGAACTAAAGGAGATCACTGAGGATCTGTCTGATCTTATCACACGGTAAGAGGATCAGAGAGGTGCGTTGGAGGGACTTGACTTACTCTGCGTTATAGGGTGATGACGAACGTCGAGATCATGGATAGCAACTTCCGTGCCTTACTGATGACGAAGTTAACCGGAGAAGCGAGCCGTCTCATGAAGGCCGAGCAGATGAGGAGGAAGGACTTCGAAGGAGGCTTGTCCGTCCCGAGTGAATTAACCTTCACCGACGAAGAGGACCTCGCAAAAGTCAACACCTACCGCCGTGCCTTCGGCGCTTTAATCGCCGATATGGAGTTCATGCACCGCATGATCCAGCAAAAGGAAGACCATATGAGCGAGCTCGAGGCGGGGGAGGACGTGGATGAAGCCACCATGAAGGAGACAGAGGAACACATGGAGGAGGGAAGGGACGTGCCGGAGAATCATGGAGTGAGGAGGAAGAGTGACGAGGAGGAGGTCCTGGGAGACGATGAATCTGATATTGAGGATGAGGTGGATAATGAGGTGGATGAGGAGGGAGGGGATAAGGATGATATCTGAGTATGATCTGGGTAATGTCCGGGGTGATCTTTCTAGTTACAGCGATTTTGGTGGTGTTTCGACGTGATTTCTTGGCAGGTTTATGAATGAACAATCTTATCATATAACGTTCTCACGGTCACGCTGTGAAAGGGCTACAGGTCTGGTGGATCAATGACACGAATGGTATTAGTAGGCACGCAGAAGAAATGACAAAAACACCAGTAACCCAGCAAAGGCTCCCACCCAACAGCACTTCGAATAACGTACACTTAATCCAATCTCCTAATCCCTATTGCCCCTTCAACTCTTTTGATACTCCTCAACGCTAAACGCCGCAGCCCGCCCTCCATCCACTTGCACCTCCTCCTCAATCTTAACCTTCTTCGCTGACATATTGATAACATCCACATAATTACTCGGGAAATACCCAACCCTCCCATCCCTCAACCGTCCCCTCCACCAACTACTCTCATTCCCCATCGGGTCCGTCTTACTTATGATCGCAACGATATCCCCCTTTTTGAGTTCGAGTTCCACGTTAGGATCTTGTGGTTTGAAATCGTATACTGCGCGGCAGAATTCGAGTTTGGAGGGGTCAACGGCGATGCCAGCAGAGGCGTTCTGGGATCGTTCGAGGGCGGCAGCGCGGGCGGAGAGGAGGCGGACTAATTTTGTCATGAGGTAGGGGAGGCCGAAGACGGCGATGATGAAGAAGATGAAGGGTTTCTTGCTGGGTTTTGGGCGGGCGACATCATTGCCTCCGCCGGCCTCGAACGCAGCGAATCCAGCTGGGTTCAAGCCACTCGCGTCGAGTGGGATGGGTCGACCGGTCAATTTGGCGAGGAGCACTTTACACCACCTAATCATCGTGAAAACTCCCAACACACTCCCCAAACTCTGCCTCAGATTCCCGAATTGCTCCGCAACGCTGACCATCGCGAAGAACGAGCTCTGGGTAGCCATGTACGTACTCTCCAACATCTGTGCGAAACCGCCTACTGCGCCCACGATGGATTCAATCATTTGGAAGGTTGCCATGGTGCTGTTTTCCATTCGTCGGGTTAGGGAGGAGTTGGGGTCGTTGGGGTCCATCCCTGCCCCATAGCCGCCGCCCATACCGTAGCCACCCATGCTGCCCATGCTGCCCATTCCGCCCATTCCGCCATAGCCTCCGTAGGAGCCCATTCCACCGTATCGTGAGCCGTAGCCACCCATTCCGCCGCCGTATGATCCCATACCACCGTACGACCCATACGATCCCATTCCGCCATACCCTGATCCATATCTTGATCCGTATGAGGATGCTCCGTATGGAGATGTCGTTGTTAATGCGCTACCCGTCGCCAAAGTCGAGGGACGCGATGGCAGATCTGGCGCACCGAGCGATGAGGCTGCAGCATCCTCTGTTGAGGGAGACGTAGATGCCATTGGTGATGATAGTGAAGATGCAGTACCAGTTGCTCCTGCTGTTTCCCAAGGCTTCGGTGGACTGGGCATTTCAATGGTTGGTGGAGTAGTAGTTGGTTGGTGTGGAGTGCAGCTCTAGACGGATTCGCCCCTTTCACATGTTCCGACGTCCGACCCCGCTCAAAACAGACACCCCGAGAGACTTGATAGCAGAATAGATTTTGATTTTGATATATTTTACAGACGAACAACAAGCTAATTCCTAATCCCATAGTGAACTGAGCAAGTAATCGAACGTAGAAAGTCACGAATAAAGCAGAACCGAACGAAGCAAGCAAATAAGAACCCAACCTTGAAATAAGTGAAAACCCAGAGAACCCCATCCAATTATTAACCGCCCATCCTTTCACCTCGCCATCACGCTGTCACTCCGTTTAGGAGGCAACGAAGATGGAAGAGGGGTTAGATCCCCAGCCAGAGACAGTGTCGAGAGCAATGGAAGAACCAAAGTCAACGTTAGAGATCTCAGCCAACTTGATGGTCTTGTCAGAAGAGGAGAAGACAACGGCAGCCTGCATGTAAGAAGTCTTGGGACGGACAAAGTAGTCAGAAGAACCACCACCACCGTACTGAGTACCGGTACCCTGGAAGTCGTGGAGGGTGGTAGTCATGTAGTCCAAACCAGTAGTCAAGACCTCGAACAAGTCGAGCTCACCACATCCGGTAGTCCAGCAAGAGCAGGAAGCGTCACCGTACTGGAGGGTACGGGGGATCTGGGCGTTCAAAGCCCAGATAGCGGGCATGTCCAAGTTGAAGGAAGAGGTGGACGCGGAGTCAGTAGGCATCATGAACTCGAACAAGAACATCTTGTCACCGCCGGAGAAACCCTTGTAAGCGGGAGCACCGTCCGCGACGTAACCGCAAGAGTCGTCACACGCCTCACCGGAGAAGATGATCACCTCCTTGTTGGAGGGGATGGTGACGTCCTCCAAGATCTGGGGAACGGCAGCCGCGTCGACCCCGTTGGCGTTGGCGTAGGAGAGTGTGTTACCGAAGCAAGAAGACCAGGAACCGGAGCCATTGACACCACCCATGTTGTTCATGAACACGATGTTCTCGGCGGTACCAGACGAAGCCTCGTAGAAGGAGGAACGAACCCAGGCGGTACCGGTAACGGAGGGAGCAGCGGAGGAAGAGGAAGAGGTGGAGGTGGAGGAAGAAGAGTCGGGGCCGGCCTCAGCGATGACGGAAGCAACGGCACCAGCAACGGAGGTAACAGCGCCAACAACGTCACCGACAACATCGCCAGCAACGGAGGCGACCTCAGAGGCAACAGAAACAATGTCGTCGACAACCACGGCAACAACGTTACCGTTGGCCGCGGTGGAGGCGGAGGTAGTGGCAGGAGTAGCAGCGGCGGCAGTGCCATCAGCGACACCACGAGTGCGGGTGATGGTAGTGTGCACGGTCTCAGTAATCCAGACCTCCTCAACAACGGCGGAACGACGGTGGTGAGAGTGACCAGTCCTCTTAGCCTTAGGGCAGTCAGAAGAAGAAGGCTCAACATCGCGCTTCTTGGCGGCGGAAGAACCGGACTGGAGGTTGTAGACGGCAACCTTGGCGATCTGGATGGGACCACGGAAGTGAAGAGACAACTCCTCGTTCACGGGCGCAAGGGATCCGGAGAAAGACTTGGTCTGAGAGGTACAGGTGCAGGAGGAGGTGTCCATAGCGGTGACCTGCTGGTAAGAACCGGCGAAACCGATGTTCTGGTACTCGATGGCGGAGACGGCATCGCAGTAGTAGTTACCGGAGATTTGGGAGCAGTCGGCGTTGACGCCGACGAGAGCGCTCAAGAAAGCGGCGGAGCCGAGAAGGAAGGTGGAGAGGCGGGCCATTCCGAATAGATAGTTGGGTATAGCGAAGATTGTGTGATTGAACGTGTTCAACACGAGTTTGAAGGTTGAGTTACCGGCTTAAAGAGCGACTGGTGATAAAGAACGTCGGGAGTACGACCTCACTGAAGCGAACTCAACGAAGGAGGGGACAGCCGGATGAAAAGAGCGTAGAGTTCGCGGTTGCAAACCTTCTACACGAATTGAAAAGGTTAATTGGTGACAGTCGCGTACGAGGGAGGGGGAGCACGAACAGTTTTATGGAAGGACGTTCTGGCGTTTTGCCAAGCCTCAATGGTGAAACGCGGTGGTGGGGGGCAGAGAGTGTGCGCCCGCCGAATTTGGTGTTGAGTTTCTGCCAGGGGGACAAAAACAAAAACAAAGGGGGGCAAGCGAGGAATGGACAAGTATCGCGAAGGTAGAGGAGGACGAGCAGAGTCAATTACGACAGTCCGTCGCTCTTCTCTGCCTTATGTCCTGCTCAAATCGATCATGATCGTGACTGACCGGGAGGGAAGGGACAGTGTGCAATCTCGGTGTTTGGTGTGCTTTTGATTAGAGTTCAGTCAAATCAGGGGAACCGTGTCTCGCAAAATCTTCATTGCGGTTGAGCACACTGAACTTAAAAAACGGGATATGGCACGGCAAGTCAAAGTAGAGCTCAATCAAGGGCCGATAAAGGCGACTGTATGCGCATAAGACGTCACCAACACGGCCCATACGACTGCCAAGTGCCAAGTCAACGGGAAGGGCAAGAGACGGAAAACAGTAAGCTCCTGACAATTGCAATTGCAAATTCTCCCTCCCTTAAACTGTCTCCCTTACGCGATCAAACCGCAATTTCCCAGAAACACCGCGGCGCACATCTGCAGCAGCCTCACGACCCTGACTTATCCCAATTCTCTCGTCTTTGCAGCAGGTTGATGTGGTCCAGCCGTTGCCGGTGCTTGCAGTCTTTTAGTCTTTTACCGGGATCCGGCAGCGTTTTTTAAGCTTCGTGTTCTTTCGAGGGGTCGTTCTCGAACGGTCTGGGTTTGTTGTGGGTACATACGTGTGGCCTGACTTCCTTTGTGCGTCTCGAGAAGAGGCGATGGCGATGCACACGCAGGCGCCCGGTCGATCAAACACACCGATGCTCAAGTGTTTCGGACAGGTAGATCGCTGTCTCTATGTCAGACATGTTGAAATGCGATTGAGTGTCGAGCTTCTTTACACGACGGCATTTGCTTTTTTGGCGTTTCATGTTTGGGGGTATATGGGCACGGTCCTTCTGAACATTGACGTCTTCTTCATGTGAAGTTCAATTATGAGTAATGAGTGTAAAGTACTGTAAACCTATAGAGAAATAAAGAAAGGGGTATCTGCCCCGGCAGAGGGCTTGAGTATGATATATGTCTGCTTTCTCTTCCCACACACGATGCTATGCCCATGTTGGTTGTATGCTGATCATGATTATCGATTATGCCGTTGTGCTCTCTCCAATTGCCTTGCAACGCAATGGACGTCTGTAAGCAAACAAAAGTAAAAACTCCGCAGCTCCTCTTCTCTCACCGTGCGTCCGTTTCCATAAAACTCCAGTACCAATTGTATCCGGGGTATAAGGGACCTCATTTGTGTGCCGAGTTCCTTCAAGCAAGTGTTTCTGCGTTTCGTTCCAATTCGATCGACTTGGAGATTTTGTCTGCGAGTCCTTCTTCTGCGATGAAGCTTGGGATGCGGGGGGCTTTGCCGACTCTGTCGCCGTAGGAGCTCGTGCGTCTGAAGTCCGTGGGAGCGCTGATGGTGAGGAATTTGGCGCTGTTGTTCATGGGTGGGATAGGTGTGCAGGGTCGCTCGATGATCGATGCTCGGCGAGATGCGGAGGAGAGAGAGAGGGATGAGAAGTTGCCTTGGAGTGCGGTCAAGAGCCAGCTCCTGGACTTCTTCTTATTGAGGGTATGCTCGGTGACTTCCTGCGTCGGAGGTGAGCCAAGTGCAAGGGAATCCCTTGAACGTTGAGAGCGGAGAGATATCATCGAACGTCTCTTCTCCAACATCGGAACAATGCTCAATCTGCTCAAGACCCTCCTCAACCCAGTGCCCTTCGGCTTCTCGATTACCACCTTACAATTGCAGTCGGTGTCGAACTGTCCGACATTGATGCTCGGCGGAGGGCTGGGTATCCGATCGAAGTACTCGGCTCTTTCAACGTCATGCATGTCGAAGAGCGGGCTAGGCAGCGGGCTGTTGATAGAGCTTGTCGGACTTGGCGGATCAAGTGCTGGGAGCTGAAGAACGGGTGGAGTGTTGCTGCCGGCAGCCCATGGTGCTGTGGAGATGCGACGAATGGAAGGACCGAACACGTCGAGGGTGCTGAACTTGGGTGTAGATGGGAGGTCGGGAGTCGGGAGTGCTTCCATCGGTGGGAATTCGTCTTCATCGTCTTCATCTTCCGAGGAGGAGCATTCGTCGTAGTTGACATATTCGATCTCCTCCTCCTTCTCGGGCTCCTGTAGTAAGACAGCCTCGGATGCTTCAACCTCTGCCTGCTTTCCCTCCACTACGACCGGGCAGACGTCGTGGACCACAACCTTTCCTCCTACGACTCTTCCCAGCTTTGCTCTAGGCTTCGGGTCCATCTTGCGGAGCACAACACGGTACTCATGGATCTTTGCGACTTCCTTCTCGATGATGGAAAGCCGGGCACCGGTGCGCTGTTGTGGGATCTGTAACCGCTTGCCGGTCACAATTGTCGCAATCGAGTCGGTAGAGACGGAGCTTGAAAATGGAAATGCAATCGTCGTCGCCGACATATTTGCGATTGATCCTTCGCAAACGCCTGGACGTCGAGGAAACTCAGCGAAGCGGAGATATATTGGTTATGTTGGGATCTGTATCTCTCGAGCGAAGCTGACAACAACACCGGCGGCCAACGCTTGTTTTTGTGTCTGTGGCTTCCCAAATGCACAATGGCCGACGACCACAGGGGTCTTTTAGGTGTATCAGAGCCAGGGACCATGACGCCCAAAACCAAGCCCGCCAAAGGGTCTCGTCCTTATCCAATCCATGTGTTTGACCGATTACGAATGGACGGACCCAAAAACGCGCTGGGTCCCTCCCGTATGGGGTCCGTGCGCTGGTGCTTGGTCCGTGCACGCAACGCGCGACGCTGGGGCTCCCGCTGACCGGTCCGTGCGCATAAGTCGCGTACATTCCCAAACAGTACCGCCACAAACAACGCGAACTCTGCCACGACCATCCTTGATCCGGCAATTGATGGGGTGGGGATTGAGCGTCCCCTGTGCAGAAGATTGCGATAGAATCAGGCCAGGTGGGTGCCATGAGTAGAGCGTAGCCGAGGGGGTGCTGCCAATTCCGATGTAGCTCGCTGATAGCGTTGACCGCTCGGGGAAACATGCTCATGATCGTCCGTTTTCCGGACCCTTAGCTGAGGTAATGGATCTCAACTGTCGGCTGTGCACGGATCAGGATGATCAATCTAGGAAGAAACAGGGGATCAACTGTTTGGAAGCCTCTCGATTGGGCGGACGTCACGTCGGTTCATTATTCATAAAACCATACTTCATCTTCTAAAGTGGGAAATCAATGTTATGACAGCTACGACATGTCGCAAATCATCACGGCACATCAAATTAACCTGGGAAATACCCGGATGATCATCACAACAACATAATCATACATACAAAGGAAGACCCATAACAGCCAATGTGAAGACACTCCCACCACCGACCCCGCTGATGGCGTAAAGAAAGTGGAAGAAGTAACGACCGTGACATCATTCAGACCGCCATCTTCTCCTTGAGCCAATCCGTCCATTGGTCAACGTCCCAGCTGGACGAGACAGAATTGTCGACAACGCCATTGAAAGTCACGGTGGGTGTGACATGGATCGAGTTCTGGCGATTGTACTGTATGTCATACATCAGCCACCGCAGAAGCGGACAAGCTCAACGTGATCCATACCTTCTGCATCAATTTCAATGCATCCGTAACCTATTCTCCCACGGTCAGCATAACTCCTGAACCCCGAATGCCAACTGGAAAGAAAACCTTGTTTCCCCCATTCGTACCCTCCTTACTCCCCTTCCCCACATCCTTAACCTCCAACAACTCCATCATCCTCCCCTCGTCGACCCCGCACTCCTCCTTCGCCAGCCTTGCCAACCTCCTATACGTCTCAATCCTCGTTTCCCCGCTCACAGCCGTATCGAAATACTCCTTTTGTCGCTGAAATAGTACGTCAGAATAATCCCAGAAGAGGGATTTATCGATCATTTCGATGGCGAGGGAGGCTTCGTGGGTGAGGGTCGAGGACGGGTGCCAGGGTTGGATTTGGTTGCGGAAGACGAATTGGATGCAGTCATGGTCTGTGCTGGAGATGGTCGGGTGGACTTGCTACAATACTTATCAACATGAAATTCAAAGTCGGGAGAACGTGGGGAGGGCACACAGTGTAGACGGTGCGGAATAGCTTCGCAGAGAAAGCTGTAAACCCATCAGTCAGCACACGGCACAATTGCGTGGGCCAGCAAACGAGATTTACGGCAAACATAGTCCAAGAACAACTCCACAACATACGGATCAGTACAATCTCCCAGACGATGCCCGGCGTGTTTCTTAGCAAGAGCTGTAAACTGGATCAGCAGCTGCATTCGATGGAAATGCATTTCTCAACGATGTCCGGAGTTACCCATTGTAATTGTAAACGTACAGCGCCTTCAAAAGCGGTGGATGGATCAAGGTCCTTTTTGTCGTTTTACTCCCGCACGCAATCAGGCTGCAGCACCGCACGGGCCGAGAAAGCCTGGACGGTCATCTGCGCGCTCCTCCCCCGCAAAAATCTGGGACATGTGGACACCAAAGCCGACAGCAGTCTTACCCTCTCCTATCAATTGATCAGCAGACTAGAACACGACGATGGTGCTCGTTACAGATTTCAAAGATAAACTCGCTCTTATCACGGGAGCTACTGGAGGAATTGGGTACGCGACATGTTTAGCGCTGGCGGGGTTGGGGTGTGATATCGCTGTTCACTACAATTCTGCTGCTGAGAAGGCACAGACGCTCGTGGCCGCGTTGCGTGAGAAGGGTGTGAAAGCTGAGTGTTTCCAGGCAGATCTGAGGTCGTATGATGAGGTCCGCCGTTTGCACAAGGAGGTCGTTGAGAAGATGGGTCATCCGGCGATTCTGTTCAATAATGCTGGTATTACGATCAAGCACGGTATCAAATCGATCGAAGAGGTGGATATGGATATGTTCGAACAGACGTGGCGAGCAAACTGCGGAAGTGCATTCCTACTAACCCAATTGTGCATACCCGAGATGGAGAAGAAAGCATGGGGACGTGTGATCTTTTGTGCCAGTGTTGCGGGATTTATTGGTGGTTTCGTAGGACCACATTACGCGTGCGTGTCTTGTTGCTCTTTAGCCTTTGGCTATACCATTGACACGAGGTATGCAGGTCTTCGAAGTCAGCACTCCACGGCCTCGTACATTGGCTCTCACAGCACTACGCCCACAAGGGCATCACCGTAAACGCGGTAGCACCCGCCTTAATCGCGGATACCACGTTGTTACCCGGTAACCCAGAAGATCTCGCCAAGAGTACCCCGGAAAAACACACGCTATTCTCACGAGTGGTGGCTAATTTTCTTGGTACAGAAATTCCCGTCGGTGTACTTGGTAGACCTGAAGAGATTGCAGAGACGGTTGTGTGGATGGTTAAGACGGGGTATCTGACGAATAAAGTGGTTGGAGTTGATGGAGGAATGTTCCCACAGTAAGGCGGTCGGGGGTCCTTGGCGTGCGGGCTGAAACCTTGCCTATCATGAGGCTGAGCGGCAGGTGCGGAAAGGGCGGGTAGACTTGAAGCCGCGAACAGCAATATTATTATTTGAGTCCGAGCCTGAAGCCGCGATCGTACGAGAGCATATGGATTCCGTGCCCTACCTAAGGTAGCTTACCCTTTTCCCAACCACCTCTTTATCAGAACCAGCCTTTCCCACGGGTGCACGCGCACTGACCCCTTGATCTTCGGCAGCGCGGCGCCTCGATCGACCATGACGCTAAGAAATGTATCGGGTCCCCTGCTCAGCCATCATCGAATACGAGTCTACGTTACATCCCCCCCGTCCCCTCCCTATCCTGATCCACCCCATATTATTATCGGCTTCAGGTAGGGCCCAGGATGGTGCGCTCAAGCCTCTTCATACGGCAAGTCCGCGCTCTCTGTCGTAAGAACTTGATCCTGTTCACCCGCCACTGGTTCCTCAACTTGATCCGCTGCCTCATCCTTCCCGTCGCCTTCATTGTCTTCTTGGGTGAAGCCCAGAACTTCTTTTCCAGGCCTGCGACGTATGGGTTTGGGAATGCTGCTGCGGTAAAGAATTTCGCGACCGAGCTGGGGAGTGGGAAGTTTGTTTGGATTGATCGGACGGGGAGCTCGGGTGGGGAGGCGCAGAGGGTTGTGGATATTGTTACGGCGAGGGTGACGAGAGGGACTGTGGTGCAGCTGCAGACGAGTACGGAGCTCGCGGAACTGTGTCCGCAAAATTTTATTGGTGCGAGTCCTTGTTTTGCGGCGGTGGAGTTTAACCAGTTGGATTTTACGACGAATCAGTTCAACTACACCCTGCGGGCCGATACAGGAAGTAACACTATTCGTGTCGACACCAACTCCGGATCGTTCGAACAAAAAGTGTTACCGCTGCAATGGGCCATCGACCAAGCGATTTTTCAGATCAGCAACCCCGGGGGAACACTACCCCCGACGCCGCTCGAACAACCATATACGCAAATCTCAGACGAGGATCGCAAAACTGATATGAGGCTTTCTTATCTGAGTGGTGTACGTACGATCCTAGCATTGGCGTTCTTTATTGGACAGTTGGGTGTTGTATACCAGCTCGTTGGACACATCGCGGAAGAGCGGGAAGCGCTCATCACGGATCTATTGGATTCGATGTCTTGTCTTCGTACTGCACGGTTCGCGTCGTTTCATCTCTCGTACTCGATTATGTTTCTTCCGTCGTGGATCTTGATGGGTGTTACCTTGGCGCTCACGTGTTTCACGAAGACGAACATCGGTTTGGTCATCGTCTTCCACTTCCTCAACGGTTTCGCGTTGACGTCGTGGTCACTCTTCGCGGGGTCCTGGTTCCGGAAAGCCCAGATGTCGGGTATCTCTGCGACCATCGCAGCGGTCATCATGGCCATCATCGCACAAGTCATCAAAGACCGCTCCTCAGGCTCCGTCATCATTTTGTCGCTGATATTCCCGCCTATGACATATATCTTTGGTACACTTATCATGACACACTGGGAGCGCGAGTTATTGGCGACGAATGTCGTGCAGAAGGGACCGAGTGGGGCGACAATGTTGGGGGTGATCATCATGTTGTTGGTACAGATCGTGGTGTACCCTTTTTTGGCGGCGATGGTTGAGGATAGGATGTTCCATGGTGGTTTTTTCCGGACGTTCAGGAGGAGTAAGGCGAGTGTTGAGGAGGTCGAGGATATTGATGGTGCGGCGGTGGTTATTCGTGGGTTGAATAAGGATTATGTACCGAGGGCTATGTTCAGGAAGGAACAGGCGAAGAGGAATACGGTGCATGCAGTCAAGGATCTGTCACTTACTGTGCACAAGGGACAGGTATATGGTCTCCTTGGTGCGAACGGCTCTGGAAAGTCGACGACGCTGGGTATGATCTCTGGATCTATCTCCATCACTTCGGGGAGTATCATCATTGACGGAAACCCAAGATTGGAGGGGAAGCATCTCCCGCAGGGGATTCTGGGAGTGTGTCCGCAGAAGAACGTCATTTGGGATACGTTGACGGTACGCCAACATGTCGAGATTTGGCAGGCGATCAAGGGTGATGCCGGATCGGTTGAGGTGGAGGATATCGATGACTTGATTGACCGCTGTGATTTGAGTCCGAAGGCACAGTTCTTGGCGAGCAACCTCTCTGGTGGACAAAAACGCAAACTCGGTCTCGCGATCTGCTTTGTCGGTGGCTCACGTGTCTGTCTCCTCGACGAGATCTCATCCGGTCTCGATCCCGTATCTCGACACGTTATCTGGAACATTATCTTGCACATGCGTGGACAGAGGACGATGATCATGACGAGTCATTTCTTGGATGAGTGTGATGTACTGTGTGATGATATTGCTATCTTGTCGAAGGGACAGTTACAGGCACAGGGGAGTTCGGTTGAGTTGAAGGCGAGGTTGGGGGAGGGGTGGAGTGTGGTTGTGAAGAGGGTTGAAAATCAGAGTGTCGACGCGGAGGTGTCGTGGATGGGTCACGATGGAACGCAGGAGGGTATGGTTCAGATGAGTCCTGTTGGGGATGATATGCGGGATGTTGCGGCTGTCGTACAGAGCGTGGTGCCGACAGCGGTACAAAAGGTTGTCGTACCGGGTGAATCCGTGTTTCGTCTGCGTACTTCGGACCCAGTACTGGTCGCTAGAGTCATGCAAGTTCTCGATGAAAAGAAGGAGCAGCTGAGGCTTGAGAGCTGTGATCTTTCGGGACCGACGTTGGAGGATGTCTTCTTGAGGATCATGGAGGGGGTTAAGGCACGCGAGGAGCAGGATAAGGAGGCATTGCTTGATTCGTCTTTTGCGATCAACTCGGAAGACGAGATCTCGAAGGATGGGGCGATGCCTATTATCATGCCGGCACATTCGAGATCGGAGAGCTCTGACCCGATTAACGTGATTGGGGGAGCAACTACGGCACCTTCGTCCTCGACTGTGAACGATGCTTCTGCGGTCACCAAAGCTTTGGATCTGTCTGATGGCCGTCGTACCGGTGTCTGGGAACAGACTATTTTCGTTCTCGGGAAGCGATGGCTAATCATGACCCGTGGGTGGTTCTCCTTCATTGCACCTTTGTTGGTGGTAGTATTCGCTTGTGGTATCAGTACTGTGTTCATCAACAGCGGCTACAACCCGGGCTGTGATGTCGTATACCGTGATAACTCGGACGTCGATCTTACGTTCCCGATGTATGACGGGGTTCCATTTGTTGTGGCTCCATCTGCCAACATCCTGAGTTCCTTGTTAAACAGTACGAGCGCTGCGTTGCTTGCAAGTGCAGGCTCTGCGTCCCTTCAACGGAGACAGAGCACGGACTTGGCGAGCAGTCTGGAGAATGCACCATTCCTTTCATTGGCCAATTCGACTGCCAACCTTACCTTCAAGGTTATCGCGGAGGATTCCCAGAGGGCTATGAGCTCTCTGATTGAGGCGAATCGAGAAAACCTTGATTCTGGTGGACTACATATTGACATCGCCACCTCTCAAGCTACCTTCACCTGGCTTGCTGAGTACTCCGGTTTGAACGGTCCGTCTCTGCTCAACCTCGCTGACAACATCTTGTACAACGATGCCACTGGCTCTTCCGGCTTGCACATCAATACCTACTTCAGATGGTTTGAGTCGAAGAGGCTTGGTGATACCGGCAAATCCTTGCAGTTCATCGTGTTCTTTGGTTTGTCTTGGGCTGTGTATCCTGCATTCGCAGCCTTATATCCGACACGGGAGCGCCTGAAGGCCGTCAAGGCTTTCCAGTTCTCTAATGGAATGAAGTCAACTTCATTGTGGCTTGGCCACTTCCTGTACGAGCTGCCCATGATCTTGCTTAGCAGCACCGTTGTGGTGATTCTTTTTGCTGCTATCACGCCTGGCACATGGAACGCATTGGGTCTTCTTTGGCTTGTCCTTGTTTTTTACAGCACCGCGTCTGTTCTGTTAGCCTTTATCGTCTCGCTGTTTGCGACTTCGCAATTAGCCGCTTTCGCTCTCAGCGCCGGAACAGGCTGTGTATACTTCCTCCTCTACGTTGCTGGGTACTTGTTGACCTTGACATACGCACCAGCGTTGCATTCTGAGCAGGATTTGAGGGTGATTCACTACACCATGTCGCTGCTGTTCCCCATCGCTTCGCTCATCAAAGCAGCGTTCGTTTCGTTGAACGCCTTTGCCTTGGCATGTGATGGGAACAAGCTTGCAGGATATTTCGGCGGTATCGATTATTTCGGTGGACCTATCCTTTACCTGATCTTGCAATCACTTTTGTACTTTGGAATCTTGATCTGGTACGACAGTGGTCGTTGGCGTCCACGTAAGGGGGAACGGACCGTAGTGGGTGAGAGTACAGAAGCTGGTCGCTTCGCTGACACAGTCAATGAGGATGTCGCAGCTGAGGCAGCGCGTATCGACAGTCATCCTGATGATGTACTGCAGGTCAGCCATCTGGTAAAGACCTTCAAGGAGACTGTTGCCGTCAATGACATCTCCTTTGGTGTCAGCCGGGGTAGTTGCTTCGCTCTGCTTGGACCGAACGGTGCTGGAAAGACTACGACCTTTTCCATGCTCCGTGGTGAGTTGGGCCCAGACAGTGGTGACGCAAGCATTGCCGGGATCTCGATTTCTCAGAACCGTAACGAAGCCAGGCAATACCTTGGTGTGTGTCCTCAGTTTGACGCCATGGACTCCTTGACAGTCCGAGAGCACCTTGCGTTCTACGCGCGGATCAAGGGTATTCCTAAGTCCGAGGTTGTACGAAATGTGGAGGTTATCATCGAGGCTGTGGGCTTGACACCGTTTGCTACGAGACTTGGTGACAAGTTATCTGGTGGTAATCAGCGTAAGCTCACTCTGGGTTCTGCTTTGCTTGGTAATCCCACATGCTTGCTCATTGACGAAGCGTCATCTGGGATGGATGCCGCCAGTAAGCGAGTGATGTGGAAGACGATTGCGAAGGTCACTCCTGGTCGTGCGATCGTCATCACCACTCATTCAATGGAGGAGGCTGATGCTTTGGCGAACCGTTCTGGCATCCTCGCTAAGAGATTCTTGGCCTTTGGCACCATTAGGGACCTAAAGGAGAAGTACGGTGCTGGTTATTCGGTCGCTTGTGCTTGCGAGTCACCCGGTGACGTCGAGCTCTTGACTAAGTCTGTGAGGGAGCGCTATCCGGATGCCATTATTGGTGGCCAAGTATACGGGACGAATGTGAAATACCGCATCCCTAAAGGTGCTGCGAGTGTTGCGGATATATTCAAGCATATGGAGCATATTCGGTCGGTCATTTTGCCAGCATTGAAGTATTCCGTTAGTGGAGCTACGTTGGAGGAGGTGTTTGTTAGCGTGGTGGAGAAGAACAACATCAAGGAAGAGGGAGCTGACCCGGAGCCCACGAAAGTGAAGCGTGGGTGGCGACGCTTTGTAGCAGGCTCGGCATGAGACGGTGTATGCGATTATTTATCATCAAGGACCTCGAGCTAGATATAGAGCTACGATAGATTCCTTGGCTATGCATGTGGAGTTTGGCGTCGTTATTTGGATGAATACAGTTATTACGAGATAATATGAACAGCAAAACGCCACCTAGTATGTAGCCATAGTCATACAACCACAGGTAACAATAACCGGTGATACAAGAACAACACCCATTCAAATCAGACGTGCTGCTTTTCAAGCTTGCGCAGTCTCACCTTCCTTAGTCTCCGTAGAACCAGCCTCCTCCTCTGCTGGCATAACCACATCCATCTTGGTCTCCTCCTCCGCAGGAGCGGCGGGAGCATCCTTCATGTCGACATCACCCGATTCGGCCGCCTCCTTGGCAGACTCCTCCTTCTTCTCCGCGCCTTCGGAAGGCTCAGCTGACTGCTCCGTCTTTTCCTCCTTCTTGTCCTGGGACTCATTAGCGGGAGCGGACTCTTCCTTCTTGTCCGAGTCACCGGGGATAATGTCTTTCCACTGATCAAGGAGGTTCTGGCAAACATCCCTAATCTTCAAATCTTCATCACGGGGGACGGCAGAGAGCTTGGTGATGCGTCGAAGGACCTTGTGAACCTTGGTGTGGCTGAATACAGCGCTGGTCATGTTTTTTCCGATAGCCTCGAGCTTACCAAGCCATCCCTTAACATCGTCCATGTCAGAGTCATTGGGTTCTTGACCATTGGAAAGCATAGCTTTCTGGAGCTTGTGTCGGAGGTATAGGACATCCTTCTGAAGCTTGTCGGCAATGCTCTGAGCAGAGGGCTGGGTGGTGGGAGTAGGCGGGACCTCCTCCTCATTGTCATCACCATCTGCAGCTGCAGCCTTTGAGGCAGCTGAAGCTTTTCTTGACGACGCTGTCTTCTTGGCAGATCCGTTGGAGGTCTTGGCTTTCTTCGCAGGGGTCTTCGCAACCTTCTTTTCATCCTCGTCGGCGCTGTCTTCAACTTCACTCTCGCTCTTTCTCTTGTTCTTAGTAGCCTCTCCCTTCTTGGCCGGGGCCTTCTTCTTGGGAGTGGCCTTGGCCTTGGTCTTCTTCTTCACCTCACCCTCCTCCTCCTCTTCATAGTCCTCGCCGGCTTCTTCAGCATCCTCCATTCCCTCGTCCTCATCCTCGACCGGAGCTGTAGCAGCAACACTAGCCTTCTTGATGATTTCTTCAAGCTCTTCAAGCGAAGGGGGGTTCCGGGCACTCTTGTATGCGGCGAGGATGTCCTTAGGCTTTTTGCCAGTATTGTCGACAAAGCTGTCAATTTCAGAGTTGGGAAGAGGCTTAAGTTCGGACTTGTTGGGCCAGCAGTACTCCTTGTTGGTGACGGGGAAGAAAATGGTAGGGAAGACAGTCTTGGACCCCCTCGGCTTGTCCTTAAGGACGCTGGGAATGCAATGAGCCTCGGTAACGACCATTGCCGGCCACCAGGGGAAACTAGATGCTGTTAGAACTTGCTGAAACGAGATGAACGCGCGTATTCACTTACCCCTTGATCTTGGCCATGACAACGTCACCAGGCTGGTAGTTGCCCTCATGCGCGCTGTCGTTCGCGTCGGACTTTTGCTTCTTAGCAGGCGTCCGCTTCGCAGGGGTCGCCTTTTCCTGGGCCGGCGCAGGCTTATCGTCCTCCTTCTTTTCCGTGGCGGGCTCTTCAGCTTTCTCCTCGGACTTCTCCTCAGCTGCCGCGGCGGACTCCTCGGACTTGTCCTCCTTCACAGGTTCCTCAGCAGGAACATCCTCGGTCTTCTTGAAGGGCTCATCCTCCTTCGTAGATGACTCTTCAATGGGAGCATCAGCGCCCTTGTCGGCGACCTCGGCTGCCTCAGCAGCAGGCGCGTTCTCAGCGGCAGGAACGTCTTCGACCTTCTCGGCGGGCGGCGGAGTAGAAGACATGATCAGACGGCGACAGTAGATATGCGATTGGTATGAACAGCGACTGGTTGATTGCAATTGAATGCACTGATCAGGAGTGGTAGTTGTGTTTCTGGATGCGACTGGGACGGAAACCGGAGACGCGCGCTGGGTGGAGCGGCTCGATCGCGCTGTGACGACGTTGCAACAGAAACCTGGGAAGTGTACGGTGACGTTTTTTCTTCGACTATCTTGTGTTTATTGGAAATATCTGATGTTGCTATGTATCTTTTGTTGGGGAGGCTCCCTGGTGTCAACGCTACAGGGGATGATTACAGTATTACGTGAACGCCTTACTAAGCCAGCCGAGCAATGTATAGGTCAAGGACCGATGTCGCACCCTTGGAAGCTTTGGCCGACCCGCTACATCCATCGTGGAAGTTTTTCCCTTCATCAGACGGCACTGCCCTGTTTGGGCCCTCCTGATCTGCTTCGTCGCAATCATTCTACCGTTTCTCGCACGATCAATCCCAACTTCCGTTCGGGGCGCATCCAAACCAGTCGTCACCGTCACGAATCAAGCTCGATCTCTCCATAGTGTCGGGACCGAAATGAATACCGCATCACACGAAGCGCAATGGAAAGCTTCCCTCGAGGCACTTCCTCCTTACTCCCCAGGAGGCAAGATTCCGGCGTTCTTCTTTGCACACGGAAGTAAGTAGCGACCGCTGCAGTTTTTTGACTATGTATGCTCATCTAGTACAAAGGCCCTCTCCTCCTGTATCCTAAGGGACTTCGTAACCCCATGGCGGACGCTATCAAGGTTGGCGCCCGAGACGGACCACACTACCAATTCTTGAAGTATTTCGGAAAGTCTCTCGTGCGCAAGTACTCGCCGAAGGCTATTGTGGTCTTCTCAGCACACTGGGAGACCAGCAAGGCCATCGAGGTCATGGACAACGACTCAAACGAGTTGTATTACGATTACTACGGATTTCCAGATGAGATGTACAAGATCAAATTTGAGTCAAAGGGCTCGTCTGACGTTGCGCAAAGGGTTGTTGAGCTTATGAATGCGGTATGATCCCTTTCACACACTTTCTAGTGGTGATGACTGACCGGAGATTCAGAGTCAAATTCCTGCAAAGACGCTCCCTAATGCTCGCGGCCTCGACCACGGTGTCTTTGTACCCGTAAGTTGTCTACATTTCTTGTATCTGATCAATGCTGACACCGTTTGCACTCACAGTTCAAGATCATGTTTGGCGAGTCCGCTCCTGTTCCTGTAGTGGAGGTGTCCATCGATTCATCGCTCAGCCCCCAGCGCCACATCAAGATCGGACAGGCTATTGAGAAGATGAGAGACGAAGGAATCTTGGTGCTTTCAGGGGGTTTGAGCATTCACACGTTCAGTGACTTTACAGCGTGGGACCCTGAAAAGGCGAGAGCCGAGATCAAGGCATTTGAGAAGGCGATTGTGGATGCAGTGGAAGAGTCGACTACGACAACGGAAAGGAATGAACGTCTCAAGATGGTGACCAAGCTGCCGGGGTTCAGGATGGCTCATCCCAGAGAAGAGCACTTTATTCCGTTATACGTTGCTGCAGGTGCGGGTTCTGAAGGGATTGCCAGTGTCATCTGCAAGTTGCACGGAGCTCTTACTATTGCTTTCGGAGCTTAGTGAGCATTTGAATAAGATATGGATTTTCTTTAACCCGATTGTATCAAGGTGGTGATAGCGCCTGCATGGCTGCCTTTCCCCGCACGGATGTACTTAACCGTAGGACAGCTGGGGCCGGGGAAGGAAGAGAGGATGGAGAACCCAGCAGACAACGTCCGACGACAACAACAACTGATCCCAAGCAAAACAGGATAAGTCTGTAATCCACGATGGCCGACAAATCGAAAAACATCTTGATTATCGGTGCCGGTACGATTGGTGCAAGCTGGGCCGCACTCTTCCTCGCTTTCGGTCACTCTGTTCACATCTACGACATTCGCAAGGACGTACAAGATTTTGTACACGATGAGCTTCAATTGATGCTCAAAACATTACTGCCCGAATTGTCTGACAGTCGCCGCAATGTGCTTGTCGGGCGTGTGATGTACGAACTTCGCTTGGAAGAAGCAGCGGCGAACCCGACTCTGTCGCTCATTCAAGACAATGTAAGACCATCCGTATCAAATGATCCATGTCTTAGCTCACGTATACTTTGCAGGGGCCTGAAAATATCGAGTACAAACAAACCTTATGGGCGAATATTGAGAAAGTTGCACCGAAAGAGGCAACATTCATCTCCTCCACGTCAACAATCACAGCTACCATCCAGTCGAAGTTCATGCAAGATCCTACCAGACTCATTGTGGCACATCCATTCAACCCTCCTCACCTTCTGCCGCTCGTCGAGATTGTTCCAGGCGAGCACCGAGATGAAAGCCGTGTTGAGGCATTGATGGACTTCTTCAAGGGCTGCGATCGCGAACCAGTGTATGTCAGGAAAGAGACTGAAGGGTTCATTGGAAATAGGCTTGCGTATGTGAAGTGGCTCTTACGTGCGAGAACCATCACTGACATGTTTACTTCAGGTTTCTTCTCTTACGAGAGTCACTTCACCTTGTCGAACAAGGCGTGGTTTCTGCGGAAGATATCGACAAGGTCGTAACTTCTAGTCTCGGCATAAGATGGTCGATTGGTATGTTAACCACAGACGTGGCTGCTGCGCATCACCTGACACTTTCCTTAGATGGTCCGTTTAGGAGTTACCATATGGGTGGAGGACGAGGCGGTCTGAAGCACTTTCTTACACATTTGGGGCCTGCCATCGGTTCGGTGTGGAAATCGGCCGGAACGCCAGACTTGAGCCCTGAACTGATCGAGACAGCTGCAAACCAAACACACGAAGCTTATGGATCTGTGAAGGATGAGATGTTTGAACAACGAGATAGACTCACAAGGGAAGTTTTGAAGATGAGAGACGAAACTAGGAGAGAGCACGAGGAGTATGAAGAAGAATATCACTGCATATGAAGCAACTGCTAGGCTAACCCACGATACCAAACCATTTATTTTCTGCACATCCATCAAAGTTCGCGAAGGTGGGACCAGCCCAGAATCCGCATACCCTTGACACCTTTCCTGACTTCACGTCCTCCTCTTCCAAAGAGTGCTAGCATCTTCGGGGTTCCAATTCGGCAATCCTGAGTGAGCCAGCATACACTCATAGGTTGAACCGCGGTACTCAACGTTTACCGAGGAGGGGCGCGAGGTCGGCTGAATTCGGTAAACCACACGGTGAGGTGGCAAAGGTGGCGCTGCTTTGTAGGAGCCCCTAATTGCTGTTGAAGCAGAAGTTTGTGAAGAAACCGAACTTGCACCGTGCTTGACAGGCGTGCTCATCTCTTTCGGCTTCGTTGAAAGAGGAACAGGTGGAGGTGTGCCGTGACTGTCCAGAGTCTTTTGAGAAAGAAGGCTAGGTGCGGAGGTATCAGGAGGTGTTGGAAGGCCACGGCGGGGGTAGCCACCGTAAATCGAGGTAGACATGCTGGGTAAGCTAGGCGCCGCTACCCGTTTCGGTTGTTGTTCCTCCTTCTTTCCCTCCAAATCTTCCAATGCTTTGCCAACTTCATGCATTGAGATCTCTGAACTATCACGAGGGTTCTTGTGCGTCAGGCTTTGTTTGATGACCTTGAGCAGACTGCGATCATGGTCACTGGAAAAGTCGGCACTGGATTCCCACACTATCAATCCCCCCAATCCTAACCTCTTCACGTAATCGCATTTCTCTTGAACAGCCCGCGGATCGTCATAAGTGTTTAGAACTTTGCGGTTCTTATCATAAGAGTATGCAGCTTGTGCTTCTTCATCCCACAACTCCTCAGCACCTGGGAGTGGAAGCTTCTTGTAGTCCACCACACCTGCTTCCCAGGAAGTGTCGGGAGAAGCTCCGGAGGAAGGACAACCCAAGCCCTGGGTGACAAATCCACGCGAGTAGAACGGTACTCCAATGAAGACTTTCGCAGCGGGAACACCGCGTGCGAGGTATTCCTTGACGGCCGTATCCACCGAGTACGCAGAATACTGCGAGTTGTAGAGATTAGACTGATGAGCAGCAATCTTTGACCACGAACCGGAGAAGTCGTATGTCATGATATGAAACTGATCAAGAACCTCGACGAACTCTTCCACTTTGAATTTGATCTTCTCGGGGGCAGGTGTACAGCAGAGGCTAATGGTATAATCCAGCCAGCCTTCATCGTGGAAGAGGATTCTCACCCTTTTTATGAAGAGAAGCAAGTTGGCAGCGTCACTGGGATGGGTAACGTTTCCATCTGCTCTGTAAAAGGAGAGTCAACACTGATGATTCATTGGATGATAACGATTTACATACCCGTAGTTGACGCCGTTATTCGAGACGTACTCCCAATCGAAACTAACCCCATTGAATACGTCCCATTCTTTGAAGAACTTGATAACGCTCTGTGCCAGACTGTCGCGAGACTGTCATCTTTTCAGCAATTGCATATCGAGAGGAAGCACGTCGAAATCACCTGGTGCGTTCTTACAGCCTCGGAAAAATGCTTTGACCACGTCCAGCCTCCAATGCTCAGCGTAATATTGATACGAGCACCACTCGCCAACAGTTTGCGAAATTGACCTAGATTACCCAGATCTTGCGGCGGACTTTGCCAAGTATTTTCCGGTGGCGCGCCCTTCCCCATGAAAGGATTCTCGAAATCCGCCCAGCGATCACCAGAGGTGATAACCCATAGATTTGCATTGTCAATGGACGGAGCCAGATTGAAGAAGGCATAGCATATATCGGTGACGCTGTCGATAGGCAAGTCCTTTACGTTGAATGATCTGGCATAGTTGCACCTACTTGATGTTAGACATCATGTTAAGGGTCGCAATAACAAGCTCACCAATTCGTATGGTACAGGATGCAGTGCTTCCCTGTAGGCGAGCTGAAGAACGGTGGCATCCTGAACTCTCACAGGGACTCGGCTATTAGCTTTACTATGTGAACGGGGTCTCCTTCACTTTTGTGCCCGCTCTATAGTGAAGTATCTCGCACTCCGATCGCAACGGATGACAGCTGTCAAGATGACTTCCCTTCGCATCGTCAGCTGCCGACTGAGGTTGACGTTGATCCTTTCGTCATTGTCATGATGGAAGGTTCGAAGACGGACAAGGGCCTTGTTTTTGAGTCAGGGTAATCTACACCTCATGTTTTGGTTTTCCCTCACGGTCAACGCTACAAGTGCACCGCCTAGCGAAACCCGAAAGTTAGTGCTCACTCTAATCAGCCAACCAAAACAACCTTGAAACATCTACACCAGATCCATTCTCTTCAATTATTTTTCTCTTCTTTTGTCTGCATATATGCCGTTTCGTTCTCGTCCATTAAACCCCCCTGCCCCCTCGTCTCGGTGAGCTATCGTGTGACAGACATACTCGCTCGGGTTATGCTTCACCTGTACGCGGCCGGGCTACTCCTATTCCCGGACATGTCGCCGGCATCAGATCCGGTACTACTTCTGGAAGTTTCACTCCACATACCCGCAGATTTTTCACTGGCGACGAAAGTACTCTTTCCAGGTGCTTCGAAGCACTCGCTCCTCCTGGTTGGCGTGGGTCCGCAAGCACTTTTACCTTTCCTATCATACCCGATAGCTAGCTAAATATCATGTTATAGCTGCGCGGTGCATCCGAACATACTGCTGAGCCTGTCATCTATCTTGTTTCACAAGAAGATGATGTGGAGAAGCATCTCGAGGGGATCGATTTGCTCGGCTTAGGCATGGTTATCACTAAGGGAAGATTGATGGTAGGGGAAGATACTCCTACGCTCGAGGTGGAGAGCGTGGATGATGGTGCTGTCGGCAATTGATTTCTTTTGCTTGCGCTTCTATCAGCCCTAACATCAAGAAGAACTGGTCGCGCAAGTCGATGCTGCGATGCGTGACCGTATCACTTGTGGCTCGTCGATTGGTCCTGTTGATATGCCCGAATTTGCAGGTAGCTTTGGTTGCTGGCTCGAGGATCGCGAGAAGAAAGAGTACTACGGCCTCATGACAAGTCGTGTTGCCTGTGGCTATAATCTTCCCGACCAGGTTCACCAGGTTGATGGCTTTGCACCGGTTCAGCAGCCGGCTGCAGCGGATCTCATGTCCCCTTGCAACATCAACATCGAGATCCGTCGTCTTGAAACTGTATTTGCTGAACTGGTCAAAGATGCTCCGGATTACGACAACTTGCCTTCCCGTGCTCACGTCGTGGCAGAAACAGTTGGATTACTAAAATCTTATGCGAAAAGGTTGTACATGGGCAAGGCCACTTCTGCCAAGGCCGGCGTCCGTCAGTGCAAGAAGAATTATCAACGTTGCATCGAGGACTGGGCTTTACTGAACTTCCTGAGGAAGCACGTCGCGCTCATCCTCCTGTGAACGAAGTCGAGCACAACGATATTGAACGGGACATTCATAAGACTACAGCAGCCATCGAAGCGAGTATGTTTGTGGCCAAGATCCACTCACTATACGCACGGTATGGTGAACAGCGTCCGAGCCATCGTGTACTCTCGCATGGACATGCGCCTTACAGAGGAGTACTTTTGCCTTTCCGACCAACCGGGTGTTGGTTTTGCTGATGCCGCTGATTGCGGATCTATAGGTACGGCAGCGTTTTCCTTCCTCAAACGTGTGGTGCGAGCTAATAAAGACGCTATGCAGTGTTCAGTGTATCTGGCACCGTAGTAGGTCTCCTTCATCGAGCGATGTACATTCATCCGGTAGCTATGAGGAGTGAAGGTGGATGGGCGTTGTCGGCTGCATCGGAGTGCTTGACGGGATCAAGGCCGTTACAGGCTTGGATCTTACCATCAAACCGACCGTTGCGGTTGCGGTTACGAGCCCGGAGTGAGGCTATGTAGATCCTGTCATGGGTACGACTGAAGTTTTAGAGTAGGAAGGTATAGCCACCACCACTGACGTAACGTCATCAGACGATGACTTGCGGAAGATCGGTTAGTTTCCCTCCACAACCCCGCACTCATCATCTTTATTTTAATGGAAGAAGTTTTTATAAGTCATGGTTCCCGTTGATCGCAATGGCTGTCATTTCAATCTGATTCTCTCGTTTCTCAAGTCGTGATGCATCAGTCGTTTTTCGCCGGTGCGTTTACTGTTCTGGTTTCTGCTCTCGGGCAGGTGCAGTCGGTGAACGCTCAGTCAAACTCGCACGCCTACTGCGACTCTCCAATTTACTGTCCTGGTGAGATTTTGCAGAACATTCAGCTCGCGCAACCATTTGACGATTCCAAGACATTCGTTGATCTCCCCACCATCCGCCCTCTCGATGAGGTTCTCGCTGCCTGGGCCAACCTCACCTTGCCTTTTGAGGGCAACGACACTCTTTCTCAGTTCTTGGACACCTACTTTGGTCAGCCTGGAACGGAGATCGAGGCTGTCAATATTTCCGCTCCTGCCAACCCTGCCTTCTTGAGAGGCATCAATGATACCGTCGTCAAGGGCTTCGCTTCAGCGGTCAACGGCTACTGGCCTCAGTTGGCTCGGAGATACGTCGGTGATGATGTCCTCTGTGATGGCTGCGTCAGCTCTTTCATCCCGGTTAATCGCACTTTTGTTGTTGCTGGTGGTCGTTTCCGTGAGTATTATTATTGGGATTCCTTCTTCATTATCGAAGGTCTCCTACTCTCCGAGCTTTACGATATCGCGTCGAACATCATCCTCAACTTCCTTGATCTCGTTGATCAGTTCGGCTTTATGCCTAATGGAGGTCGTATCTACTACTTGAACCGATCCCAGCCGCCATTCCTCACCCAAATGGTCCGTCGCTATGTCGACACCACCGGCGACGTTTCCTTCTTAGAGCGGGCTTTGCCTACCCTTGATTTGGAGTACCAGTTCTGGATGAAGAACACCACCGTCCGCATTCAGTCGCCCTACTCCAATACCACGAGGCACTTGAACCGCTACTACGTCAACAACACTCAGCCTCGCCCAGAATCCTACCTCGAGGATTACCAAACTGCGCACAATACCTCCTTTTACGGAGCTAACGGGACCGTCTACCCTGCCAGGACCAACCTCTCCCAATCGCAGATCGAAAGCCTGTACAGTGACCTCGCCACTGGCGCAGAGACTGGTTGGGATTACTCAAGCCGTTGGCTGAAGCAGTCGGCTCTCGCTGACAATGGCAACGCTCCTAACGACTACATCCTTCGCACGCTTAACACGCGCAATATCGTTCCTGTCGACTTGAACTCGATCCTCTACTACAATGAGGTTGAACTCGCTCGTTTCTGGAGCATGATCGCTTCCAACACCACTGCCAACTCCTCCATTGAAGTCAGAAACATTACGACGAACGCTACCACATCCGCCGTCAAGCAATCCCAGTTCTACACTCATGCCGCTCAAGAGCGCAAGATTGCCATGCAGGATCTCTTGTGGGACGCTGGGAACTACTCTTTCTACGATTTCAACCTTACAAGCAATGCGCGCAACAAGGAATTCACTCCGGCTAATTACTTGCCATTCTGGGCCGGAGCTGCTCCCGAATGGACACATGCCAACACCTCCATCATCGAGGAGATCTGGGAGCCCGTCTTGCACGACTTGACTGAGTACCCCGGAGGTGTTGCGACCTCTGATATCACAACTGGCTTGCAGTGGGATTTCCCCAACGTTTGGCCTCCTCTTCAGTATCTCCTCATGGAAGGCCTCATCCGCGAGTCTAATGCCACCTTCGCTCGCAATCTCACCATCGAAATTGCTCAGCGCTACATGGACTCTGCCTTCTGCTCTTGGTACGCCACCGGTGGGTCTGTTCCCAATGTTCTTCCTCAGCTTCCTGGTGAGAGTGCTACGGGAAACATCTTTGAGAAGTTCAACGCCTCGGATATTGATGCTGCTGGAGGTGGTGGAGAATACACTGTTGCTGTGGGTTTTGGGTGGACGAACGGTGTGATTCTGTGGACCGCTAATCAGTATGGAGATCTCTTGCAGACTCCCGATTGTGGAAATATCACTGCTGCCTCTACTACCATGAAGAGGAGGTCGCTGATGTAGAACAGTCGATATTTGGTTGAGGAGTAATGTACGATAATTGAGATGGAAACGCGAGACTGTACGTAGAGCTAACTGAAACGCTGTCGTTGACACTCGTATTCTTAAAAGACCGATCACAAGTATTGCATAGCAAATGAACATATTTTTTGGCATGGTCGAACTTGAAGCTCTTTGGTGCGTGAGAAAATTAACACGCAAGTTCGGCCGGTGTAGGACAAGACAGGAGCGGCCAATCCCCTCCAGCTGCGCTATCTTCTTGAAATATCTCCCAGAGCTGAATAAACAAGGCCTTTCAAATGCCTCGGCAATGATTCATCGACGTGTCACTTTCATGTTGCATGATGGACGGTACGACTTTTCTCCGCATCTACCATCCCAGCGGTCATATGACGGGATGAGGGGTCGGTCCGACTTCGGCTGACTCCCAAATGCCCTCAGGTTAAAGAGGGAATGTAGCTCTCTGTTATAGATTGAGGCCATATAGCTACGTACGCGTCGGCCAAAGTAATTGTCCATCGAACATTTACAATATGCCAAGCACTATGTCTCCACTCATCCAGCTCAGGGAACTTCACGCCTACATAGGCGATGCCATTAATGTCCTCGAAAAGGAATGTTCAGAACACAATGACCCCATGGTCGACGTCCACTCGACCGAGGTTCACCCTCGTATTACTCGCATCCTCTCAGAAGAGGTCGGAAATGCCGAGAAAACCATTTTCGGAGCCGCTACCATGCTCCAAGCGTCACTGAATCCCCGAACCGTTCTTCGCGATAAGATACTGTCTTATCATATCACCAATGCTCTGCAGGTAGTCAATGCAAAAGGCGTTGCAAAAATTCTAGGAACAGGGAAGGTCTCGGCAAAGGACCTGGCAGGCGCAACGGGGATCAATCCAGATAAGTTGACGAGGATCATGAGATTGCTTTGTTCCAATCTCATATTCTGCAAAGTCGAAGACGACGTCTATGCCAACAATGCTGTTTCCATTCTCCTTGCTTCTGACGAAGCTCAAGCCTTGGTAGGTCATTGTCTCGAGGACGTAAACCCAGTTGGAGTCAGTGGACTTTACGAGGCTCTTACCAAAGTCGATCTAAAAGATTCGTTTGCTTTATCTGCAAGCCCTTTCGCAATCACGAAGAGGACCGAGCTCTCTGTCTTTGATTACTGGAAGAGACATGAACCACATGCCTTTTACCGTTTTCCCAAAGCCATGTCTGCCCATGCCGAGTATGATGGGTTTGCAGCAGCCAAGGCGTTCCCTTTTGCAGACATGAGCGGAGGTGTCATTGTTGACGTTGGAGGTTCCTTGGGACAAACGTCCAGGTTGTTTCTGGAAGAAAACTCCAAGATCCAGCTGGTCCTTGAGGACATGGAGCCTGTAGTGCGCGCAGCAGAAGAGCACTGGACCGTCAACCATCCAGATCTGATTTCTCGCGTTACGTTCCAACCGTGCGACTTCTTCAAAACCCAACCGGTCAAGGGTGCCGATGTCTACTATCTGCAGAACATCATTCACGACTGGACGGACGAGGATTGCGTGAAAATTCTGGAGAACCTGAGGGACGCAATGACTACTGAATCTCGCCTCATCATCGCTGGCGTCGTTCCCCCAAGCCTGACAAAAGGACCAGCACCGAGGCCTCTTTTGCCAAACTATTCCGAGTCCTTTGCCTTTTGCAGCGACCTTCAAATGCTTTACATGTGTAACAGCAGGGAGAGAACCGCAGCTGACCTGGACAGGCTCATGAACCCGCTTGGGGTGAAGGTTGTCAAGGAGTGGAAGAACAGCGGAAGTTTCACGTTGACTGAGTGCATGTTCGTCAATTAAGTTATGTACCCTGTTTGCAGTGCTAAAGACTTCTGTATAAATGCGACTGGCTTATTGTCATCAATCAGCCTGGCTAGCTCAATCGGTAGAGCGTGAGACTCTTAATCTCAAGGTTGTGGGTTCGACCCCCACGTCGGGCTTTGCCCTTTTGTCTTCGTTTTGATGGTTGGGTAATTCTTGAGCAATACAACTGATGTGTCCTTCGTAAATACTCTCGTTTTCATCAATCCTCCGAGGACTTCATCGCTGCCGGTACAGTTTCCCCACACATTAGCCGAGGAAGCCGAATTACCCCCGCTTGAGTACAGTGCTACACCACACTCAATTGCGAATACGTTGACCAGTTGATCCATACGATCTCTACAATCACAATGTCCAGCTTTGCTCAATTTGCCCGCAACTCTCGCAAGATCGTTGGTATCGGTCGCAACTACGCGTAAGTCGCATCTCCCACTGATCCGCATCGTACCTCCTAACACCGGACAATAGTGACCACATCAAAGAACTCAACAATGTCCGACCAACCGAGCCCTTCTTCTTCGTCAAACCCATGTCATCCCTCCTCTTCAAGAACCAAGGTCCTGTCCTACTCCCGCGCGGCGTAAAAGTCCACTACGAAGTCGAGCTCGCGATCATCATGGGCAAGGAACTCAAGGACGTCAGGGAATCCGAGACGGACCGGATCTATGATGCCATCGCGGGCTACGCCGTCGGTATCGACATGACCGCCCGTAACATGCAAGAACAAAACAAAAAGAAGGGGCTCCCGTGGGCCGCCGCGAAGGGCTTCGACACGTTCCAGCCCATCTCCGATTTCATTCCCAAAGAAAAGATTCCTGATCCACATAACGCTGAGCTCTGGCTCACCGTCAACGACCAGCTCAAGCAGCAAGATAACACGAATCTCATGCTTTTCCGGATTCCTCGGTTGTTGGAGCATATCTCTGGTATTATGAAGCTCGAGCCTAACGATATTATTTTGACGGGTACGCCTAAGGGTGTTGGACCGGTTGTACACGGTGATGTGATGAAAGCTGGCATCAGGGTTGATGGGAAGGAGATTGCGGAGGGATTAATGGAGGTGAAGGTCGAGGACAGGCAGGGTGGATACGAGTTTAAGCTCTGAACAGATCAAAATATACCCCATAGTTACTCTTCATCTTCGAGACCTTCATCGTCACCACCGAAGCCAAAGGAGAACCCGCCAATGTTCTCGGTCAAAGAAGTCCAGCCACTTGATGCCTTTGCTTCGACCTTCTTGCGTTTCGCTTCATCTTCCCATTCCATCTCTTCCAACGCGTTCTTCAGTTCTATCGGATGCTCCTGCTCCATTCTCTTCACGAACAACGCGTAAGGATCCTCCACTTTCCTGAATCCGCTAACCTGATCAGGCATATCCCTCATGAACCTCAGAGCCTTTCTCAGATTGTTCTTCGCGATGAAGTTTCCAGTCAGTGCGACGGAAGGAGTCAGGTTAATCACAAGATGCCACCATTGCGACGGTACGTGAATGATCTCTCCTGCCTCGCAGATACCCTCTAAACACCCTGCCTCACGTCTTGCTTCACGATGAAACCCTGTTAACCACTCTGCCAGCGATACGGGCGAGGTAACCTCAGCTTGATCTTCCGAAACGTAGACGCCTGGTGGTAACTGGTCTGGCGGAAATATGATCCAGTACTTCTTCCCTGTCAGTACGGCATTCCATGCCGAAGTCGAATTGGGGTCCTTATGAAACGTCGAGCCAGAAGACTGCGGTCCAGCGATAAGCCAACGATGATCAGGTCTTTCATCTCCCAGGACGGCAAAGTAATCCTCCGTGAACACATCGGGTAGAATGTATTCCTCCTTCAGTTTCGTTTTCCGCTCAAAGTCGCGATCAAAGAGATATAGAGGTGATTCGTCCACGTTGTTCTCGGTATACTGAAGGTATGTCTTCATCGGCCAATCGACGCATTCAGCGCGGAATTCCACTTCGGCATACTCTTCCGCCAGCTTCTTCAGGTCCCATTGCTTTTCGTACGCAGGCCACTGGCTGACGGGCTCAGTGAGGATGAACGGCGTATTTGTCCATTGGTGGTGGAACTCATCCAAGGTCATGTTGGGCAGACGAGCGATGGTGTTGGCATTGTGCTTCATGAATTGACAAACATCAACCTGCGAACAAAAATAGGGCCGGTATAGGACATCAGAGTAAAGATGCGGCACGCTGAACCGAGCAGTCTTCTCCTCCGGTAGTTGCAGGTAAGTCCTTCTCCAAGTTCCTCTCCACTGCTGCTTGACATGTGCCGGCTTCTCCTCCACCGTCAACGTCTTCCACAGTTCATCAAAGCGAGTGAATGCATACAGCGCTTTACTGCACGCTCCCAACAACTGCAAGTGCCTAGCTTCGAGATGTGCCAGGATGTCGAGGAGCAGTTCGTCTGGAATGGTGTTCATGTATCCCAGTCCTCCTGGTCGAGCATTCGTCTTTGCCAGCAGGGCATTGCCTGATGGCTTTATGCGTAGAGGGTGTATTGGAAGGAGGGTTGTCTCGGTGTGTCTCTTCTGTCTCTTCTTGGGCGGGTCCATAACCCCGACGTCTACTCTTTTGTTGTATAGCTGTTCTACGACTGCCTACGACCTCGACCAGCACCTCTAGAGAATAGTCAGATTCGTTAAGGTTTACCGTCTACGTGCGTGGCCCCGTGCATGTTAGGCGTGACTAAAATTTTTGGTGGTTGAGCCGCGCAAGACCCGCAATTGATCGAAGAAACGAGAGTCAGACGTTTTCTCCCTACCAAGTACACAGCAACACTCGAAACAACAGTACAATATGGCCGACCAAGGACTTCAGGAAGTTGATGAGGGTATGATCCAGTCTAACTGGGAGGAGGTGTACGTTTTTCCCGCTCTTTCCGCGCTGCTCTGACGCCCTGCTGGCCCTTTTGCCGCACGCTCGGATGAATGCTCTGAAAATGACACGACAATGCTAACGATATGCTGCTCACAGTGTCGACAACTTCGACAACATGGATCTCAAGTCTGAGCTTCTCCGTGGTATCTACGCTTACGGTACGTTTTCTTATCGCTCGGAGGGCTTCGCTTAATCGTCATTCTGCGCAATGACACTGGGTGGCGAACTGAAGCAAGGTCAATCGCATCAGTACAAGGTCTAACAATGGTTACCTGCAGGTTTCGAGCGTCCCTCTGCCATTCAGCAGCGTGCCATTCTCCCCGTCCTCAAGGGTCACGATGTCATCGCCCAGGCTCAGTCCGGTACCGGTAAGACCGCTACCTTCTCCATCTCTGTCCTCCAGTCCATCGACATCTCCGTCAAGCAGTGCCAGGCTTTGATCTTGGCCCCTACCCGTGAGTTGGCTCAGCAGATCCAGAAGGTCGTTGTCGCTATCGGAGACTACCTCAACGTCGAGTGCCACGCCTGTATCGGCGGTACCAACGTCCGTGACGACATGAAGGCCCTCCAGGACGGTGTCCATGTCGTCGTCGGTACCCCCGGACGTGTCCACGACATGATCCAGCGTCGTGCTCTCCGCACCGACAGCATGAAGATGTTCGTCCTCGACGAGGCCGATGAGATGTTGTCCCGCGGTTTCAAGGACCAGATCTACGACATCTTCCAGCTTCTTCCCCCCACCACCCAAGCTGTCCTTCTTTCCGCCACCATGCCCCAGGAGGTCTTGGAGGTTACCCAGAAGTTCATGCGCGAGCCCGTCCGCATTCTCGTCAAGAAGGACGAGCTTACCCTCGAAGGTATCAAGCAGTTCTACATCGCCGTTGAGAAGGAGGACTGGAAGCTCGACACCCTTTGCGACTTGTACGAGACCGTTACCATCACTCAGGCCGTCATCTTCTGCAACACCCGCAGAAAGGTCGACTGGCTTACCGAGAAGCTCACTTCCCGTGACTTCACTGTCTCCGCTATGCACGGTGACATGGAGCAGGGTCAGCGTGAGGTTATCATGAAGGAGTTCCGTTCCGGTTCTTCCCGTGTTTTGATCACCACTGACTTGCTTGCCCGTGGTATCGACGTTCAGCAGGTCTCTTTGGTCATCAACTACGACTTGCCCGCCAACCGCGAGAACTACATTCACCGTATCGGTCGTGGCGGTCGTTTCGGAAGGAAGGGTGTTGCTATCAACTTCGTCACCTCTGAGGACACCCGTATGATGCGTGACATCGAGCAGTTCTACTCTACCCAGATCGAAGAGATGCCCCTCAACGTTGCTGACCTTATCTAAGGTGTTTAAGCTTTGAAGGTATATTAAGGAGGGCGTTTTTGGAAAGCAACCGAGGGTCGACATCGGTTGCTTTGGAGCAGCAAAAAGTCGAATGGCAGGTCACAGCCAATTTACCCTTTGTCATGATACACCTTTTCTTTTCATAGGTTGCCGTTTTGTTTTTCCGTAATCGCTTTTTTCATTAGGGAGCGTTGAATTGGATAATTTACCCCCGGATCACCTGTTATTACGCTCGTCTATATGCTCCCCAGCTGCGGGGCTGGCTCCAGGTGTTTCAGCCTGTTTGTTATTGGATACGTTACAGCTCGAGCTTATCAAGGTTCAATGCCTTTTCTGACTGTAAGGTTTACCTCGGCCAAGTCACCGTTCGCCAGCGATCGATCTCGCAGAAGAGGCATGGTCGCCTTCACGTTCCAAATACCGGTAAATACATAACGCAGTGTCTGAGCCGCCCTGGGGTTCAGCCGTCTCAGAACAAAACAACCTCGGTACAACTGTTAGCAATCTAGGATAACGGAGTAACACTTCCCGTTTGCAAGCAGTCGGAATACCGTAGCTATCTATCCCTTGTCTCAAGTCTTGTTCTACCCCGCCTACTGCCACGACGAATCCAATACAAACGGGGAAACAGTGAGTGACCGGACATAGGCTTGATCCGGCACCGTAATGTGATCATACGATTGGCTTGACTCCCCTTGGCGAGCCAAGTACTTCCAGTATTTATAGAGGGCAGGTAACCGATGTGTACGGATAGACCATAGACGAGCGTATACGCGACGAGATGGCCATCGCGAATCCGAACTACATTGCTCTTCCTGTGTCCAAGACAGGATACAAGTCTCTTGAGTGGGGTTGGCCCAATGCGATCGCTTCCGCTGCGTGAACTGACTGTCAGTTCATAGCGACTTCTATCCTTACTATCTCGGCGAGCATGGAAAGAAGACGACGAGAAGACTCCATATGCTTGGTGAGTTTGATCTTTCTTACCGACTGGAAGCATACTGACCGGCGAAAGGAACCACATTGGGCCTGTTCACCTTGATGAGACTGCTATTGGCATGGTCAAGGGTTGCAGGTTGGGAGATGTCGAGTAATCAAATGTGGAAGCTTGCTGCCGGTGGTTTAATACAAGGGTACCTCTGGGCTTGGATCGGTCATTTCTTCGTCGAGAAAAACAGACCGGCGACGTTCAAAGTATGTGGTCCATCCGAGTTCGACGACACGACTAACGAGGGCTCAGTACCCTTTCTACTCGTTTGCTTGCGATTGGAAGATGTGGTGGGAGGTGATCACTGTGCAGAGGGACTTTTGAGGTGGATGAACGTGGGATGTTTTGCACATGTTACAAGAAGAAATTCCATATTTCTCAAGAATATACAGCTTATGATCCATGTAAAGAATTTTTCATAACTCCCGTGGAGTACGTCATACCGGCAACAATTGCCGAGGACCGTACGAACGCTCGAACTTTACGATATTTGCATTTCACAGGTCGATCGATACCAAGATGGCGAACTCGGACGAACAGAAGATGGAATATACTTAGTAAATATCCCTCGACTTGCTTCTCTTATCGTGCTAACACGGCTCAATAGCCTCGGCAAGTCTGGCTTGAAGGTCAGCAAAATCATCCTCGGATGTATGGTGCGTGTGTTTATTGCTCATATGAGGAGGACATTGTACTGACAGCGTACGCTACAGGGTTTTGGAAGCTCCAAGTGGCAGGACTGGGTTCTCGACGAGAAGGAAGCTCTGCCGTATGTCGTTCTCGCTGCTCTCCAGATCATCCCCTCATAACTTTCGCGCAGTCTGCTCAAGTACGCCTACGACAAGGGTATCACGACATGGGATACTGCAAACACTTACTCCAACGGCGAGTCAGAGCGTATTATCGGTAAGGCGATCAAGCAATACAACCTTCCTCGCGACTCCCTCGTCATCATGACAAAGTGCTTCTTCCCTGTCTCAAAAGAAGACGTCTCGCAGAATGTCATGTCTGGCGGTGTCGACCCCGATCAACTTGGTCTCATCAACCAGTACGGCCTCAGCCGCAAAGCCATCTTCGCCGCCGTCGACGCCAGCCTAAAGCGCATGGGCACCGACTACATCGATCTCCTGCAGATCCACCGACGTGATCCTAACACACCCATTGAGGAGACCATGGAGGCTTTGCACGACCTGGTCAAGTCAGGGAAGGTCCACTACATCGGTGCTTCGTCCATGTACGCATGGGAATTCTTGCAGATGCAGCAGGTTGCCGAGAAGAATGGATGGACCAGGTTTGTGTCGATGCAGAACTTCTACAACCTCCTTTACAGAGAGGAAGAGCGCGAGATGATCCCGATGTGCAAGGCCACTGGCGTAGGTGTAGTCAACTGGTCACCCATCGCCCGTGGCTTCCTCGCTCGTCCTCCATCTGCAACAACTACCCGAACTGAGACGGACCCTACCATGCAAATACTCGTCGATCCGGAGACCAAGAAGTTACGCAACTCAGACGCCGAAACTGTACGCCGCGTTCAGGAGCTGGCTGAGAAGAAGGACGTTTCCATGGCACAAATCGCCACGGCTTGGAACCTGTCCAAGCAGGGTGTCACCGCACCAATTGTTGGAGTCAAGAAGGAGAGCCAGATTGATGATGCGCTTGGTGCCTTGAGCGTCAAGCTTAGCGAAGAAGACAAAGCATATCTTGAAGAGTGCTACCAGCCGAAGAACGTCGTCGGTCACAAATAAAAGCTAGACGTATACGATAGGAGATGCAACGGTACGATGGAGTTAGAATGACAAACGCAGCCTCAATCCACGAGCTCCACTGTGCGGACATCGCCAATTTCCCACGGCGTACGTCAAACCGTAGGTGACGGCAGAAGCCGCAAGAGAAAACACGTTACCCGTGATCAAAGATGAGGGAGCGTGTCCAGCGACTGCCTCGAAGCTCTAGTAATGGAATTGGCATGCTGATCTGAGCAAGATTTGAGTATATGCACGATTGTAGCTACACTCTGAGGTTAGGATCGGTGGCAGTCGCGGATCGATAATATGATCAATTGTAGACGCTGATGCTCAGACGCGAACGCGGGAATTTCGATTTATGCCCTGATGGTGTATCCTAAATATGCAAATATGCCTTTCCATGACCGGGTAAACCTAATCGTACCAAATCATTTTACTCCTCCATCTCTTCGTCCTCGTCTTCTTCCTCTCCTTGGGCCGCCTCGAAATCGACTGCAAGCTCCTGATCACAACCGACATAACTATCACTAAAGAACATAAGCTTGTAAGAGTGCTTGCCTGGTGTAGGCACAACAAAGTCAAGGCGGACCGATAATCTCTTGGCGAGTGTGACACGCTTGATGCTGAGCAACTGCTTCGTAGCCGGATCACCAATGACAATCCACCAGTTCTCCATCTTCTTGCCAGGATAGAACGGAGCATGCACTGTGGTATCCACCTCCTCGTCTTCATCGACTTCGCGCTCAAGATTGACTTTGATGATAGTTGCTGTACCCGTGGTGATATCCTCAGGATCCTCGACCTCGAACGATACATCTATGCCAGGATACTTGTTGACAAATGACGCAACTTGACCGAGCTGACGCGGATTCATGTGCAAGAGGTTATTACGCTCGTCGTCTTCGAGGTCCATAAGGTCGAAAACGGACTCCACGCCAGCAGTCTTGCACCTGTCAATGACATCGTTGGTAAAGTAAGGAATCTGCTTCAACGGGCTGTCGCGATCCCACATAGCTTGAACACACATTTGGGAAAGCTCCATGGCGTTGGTAGCCGCGGTCAAGTAACCCTCTGACGAAACGACATCAACGCAGGAGCTCAGGAGGTTCAATACCTTCGAAAGCACAAGCTGCTGGTCAGTTGCAAGATCTGCGGGCAACTGCAATCTGGAGAAGTGAGCCTGCAGCAAAACGAATGCTTTAAACTGCGGCTGCTCATAGTTAGGAGCAGTGACCTTCACTGGGACACGGTCGTAGATACGGCGAAGGACAATGTCTTCATGGTGACGAATGGGGATTGTTTCGAACTCCGCCGCGGAGGTAACGATCTCGAGCAGGCCCTTCAGCTTGGTCTTTTCCGTCAAACTGAGAGCAAATGTCTGCATCGTAACATAAGTGATGTTGTAGTAAGCGCTGATCATACCAAGGTTAAGTGGCTCGATAGTCATATCATCGTCTTCCAAAGCAACGACCTTGGCGTCGACCAATTCCGTAACGGTCGTCTCAACCAGATCGCTCATGAAGTCGCTGAGAGCCTGGTGAGAAGTATCCTGCAAACCGTAGAACGAAGGATTGCGCACAAGACGGCGATAGAAGAGCGTCCAAGTCAGCCAGTCGACGGCATCTTGCTTGTTCTCAATCGTCTTCGTAGTAGTTTCCGCAACAAACGCGTCGTGCAGATACATGTGCAAGTAACTCTCCAAAGGCAAAGCCTCGTTCAAGAATTTGCGGTAGTAGTCCTTCTTATGAGCTGGTGTCATGAGCACCGCACGGCCCAAATCATCCTCCTGCGGACGACTGGCACGACCCATCATTTGCAAGATGTCGCTGACAGGGTAATCGATGTAGCGATGTTCCTTGCCTTCGAAGAATTGCGTGCCCATGATAACAACAAGATGGGCAGTGGGCTTCAACGACCAGCACGCATCACGCGATACAAGAAGAACTTGAACAGCGCCGGAGCTGAAGAGGTCCTGCACAATGTTCTTGTCACCTTTTGACAATGCTTCATGGTAAAACCCAATACCGTGCGTCAAACTCTCAGCAAGAGCCTTGTCCTGCAAACGCTCAAGATGGGGAAGGATGTCCTTCAGGTCAGCTGCTAAAAAGCGATCCTCATCGCCATTGGCGACACAGTACATCAAAAGATCCAACGCTGTCTGACGGGATTGCTTCCTGCTCGGCAAGAAGACGATCGCGGGCTCGCTCCCAGCCATGTTAGTGATGGCAAGGTACGTTGGCTTCGTCATGGCAAACATCATAGATGGGAAATGCGGAATGCTGAACGACTGAATGTGGATTTCCAACGGCGTAGGACGGTCGACAGGTGCGAAGTTATACACCGTATGGGATGTCGCTCCAATCCATTCTCCAAGGTCGCGAGCACTTGCCAGAGGCACGCTGAGTCCGATGATACGAATCTTCTTCTCCAACTGCGCTGCGATGTAACGCATGCGTGAACACACCACTTCGTACGTCGGTCCACCTTGTCCGCCAATGAGCTGCATCTCGTCAGCGATGAAGAGAGAGACAGCTTGCACATTCTTTCTCTGCTTCCACCTTCGCGAGATGACGTCCCATTGTTCAGGTGTAGCGAGAATCAGATCACCCCTCTCGATCAGCTTCAAGTCGGCACTGAGCTCACCGGTGAGAGCGACTACTTCTCTGCCACCCGCGATGTTTGCGAACTTGTCTTGCCACTCCTCAAGTCTCTGGTCGACAATCTCTTGCATAGGTGCGACATACACAGTTTTGCCAGCATCTTGCTGAGACCATAATCTCAGGATAGCAAACTCTGCACAAACGGTCTTTCCAGAGCCGGTGGGCGCACCGATGAAGACGTTGTCATCAGTTGTGTATAACGTGTTGAACACCTGAGTCTGGATCTTGTTAAAGGTCTTCAACCAAGAACCGTAAAGTGCCACAAACTCGGCATTGCGCAAAGCCGACACAGGCAGAGGCTGCAAATCAAGCAAGGGAGTGTGCGCAGGGAACTTGTCAGGGAGAATCAAGTGCTTGAAGGACACTGCAAGCTTGGTCTCCGAGTGCATCCATCGGTCAGATACCACGGTGATGAAGTAGTTCGGTGGCAGGGGCTCCACCACAGCAACGCTGAACGTCACGATATGGTCGTCCTGCGCATACTTCTTCCGAAGGATAAAGGACTCGTGGAAAAGAATCTCCTCACCATCAACATCTTCGACGATAACCCAGAAAGCTTCTGCATTGCCGTGAATAGCATCATTCCACTCAAAGTCCGGAGTAATCGTCAGCTCAACGTTCAGCAAAGATCGCGTGATAGGCTGAACCTGGGCGGACAACTCCAGCTTGGGGAATTGATGGACAAGCTGATGAACGAGCTTTCCAGCCTTCGGAATGCCAATCAGTTCACCAAGCTCAGGTGGGTCAAAGTCAAAGTAGCGACCCCAGGGGAGGTCTTTCCTCTCAACCTTGCGAATGACATCAACCGGACAAATGGTGAACTGACGGAGCGGTGTCATTGTAGGCCACATGCGCTTCTCAACCATCTTGCACATGTCAAGAGCCTGCTTAGCAACGGCCGACCAGCCGCGCTTGAGACAGATCTCGAAAATGGCTCGCAAGATACGTCCGGCAGACTGAGTAACGTACACCATATCAGAGACCAAAGCGAAACCATCAAGCTTGAGCCTGGAAATGTAGGACTGAAGAAGAACATTGATCTTGGCCGAAGGCTCTTCAATGTTCTCTTTGACAGGAACCGGAACACGCTCCAACAACTTGCTCAACTCAAGCTTTTCTTCTTCACGCACAGGGATGTACTTGAATTCGCCAGAGAGTGCAAAAACTCTGAACAACTCGATCTGACCAAGAGTAGGCTTAAGGTGCTGGTTGTATGTAGCCATCGAGTCATGAGTGATGTAGTAATGTGATGCAATACGCCCAAGCTCGGTGGATTGCAAGCGACCCGTCTTCAAATCATACTTGATGAGATTACTCTTTGCCAACACGGTGGCAGCCGAGTGAATCAGATCAACACGCTTCTGCTCGAGGTATGTGTCATCGGCGTAGTCGGCTCCGACAGAGTAAAGAGCCGGCGATCGCAACATACGGACGTACAAGTACGAGTAACCCAACCACTGCACAGCCTCCTCGCGGTTGCGAACAGTACCCAAAACAATCTCGGCGTTCAGGTTGTCTGCAAGCTTGCTCATGAGCTGAGACTCAATGGGCAACTGCTGGTTCAACAAACTAAGGTAGTACTGGAGCTCGTTGTGCGAAGTGATGATAATACCTTCACCAAAAGTGTCGTATTGCGGTCGACCAGCACGTCCAAGCATCTGCAACACATCCTGCGGAGACAACTCCGTCCATCGACCCTTGTCAGGCGAGTAGATCTGAGTTCCCTTGATGATGACAGTATGCGCAGGCAAGTTGACACCCCAAGCGAGAGTTGCAGTACACACCAAGACCTGGAGGTAACCAGCGGCGAACAACTCTTCGGCGGCGGTACGGTCAGCACGGGTCATACCAGCGTGATGGATACCGAAACCGTAGGGCATGAGCTCCTTCAATGCTGCATCCTTGCACGAGTCGGCTTCAGTCTGCAAGATTTCGCGACTAGCCGCATCACTACGAAGGATCTGGGTGATGGTCTCCTCCTCGAGGGCTTTGTCCTTCAAGAACTTGGCGGTCTTTGCGGTCTCCTTACGAGAGTGCACGAAAATGAGCATCTGGTTCTTCCCGGCATTCTCCATAACCTTCTCGTAAGTGACCTCGTTCATGGTCTGCAGACGCTTAATGGCCTTCTTCTCGGTGATTCCGATGAACTCCTGCTTGAGCGGACAAGGACGGTAGGTAGAGTCAAAGTAGAACAACCCCTTCTTAGGGTCAACGCGGAGGAAGGTAGCAACATCAGCGTAGTTGGGCAATGTAGCAGACAAACCCACCAAACGGACCGGCTCAAGAGTTTGCTCGACCCTGCGGATGGTTCTGCCGACGATGCTCTCCAGTACAGGACCACGCTCATCGTGCAACAAGTGAATTTCGTCAATGATGATCAGACGAACCAAGTTGGTGTAACTCGTGTCAGTCGCTTTACGCGTGATGACATCCCACTTTTCAGGCGTCGTAACGATAATCTGAGTCTCAGCAATCTGCTGCTTGGTCAACTGGCGATCACCAGTCAACTCAGCCACCGTGATTCCGTAAGGCTCCAAGCGGCTAGAGAAGTTGCCAACCATTTCCTGAACCAACGCCTTCAGAGGAGCAATGTAGACGATCTTGAAGTCGTCCGTCCTGATAGCTCCAGTGCCCTCATCACGGTACTTGCGGAGCTCATTGAGAATACACAACATAGCAACGTTCGTCTTACCTGCACCAGTAGGTGCACAAAGCAAGACATTCTCGTCCTCACCAAAACAGGCGGGGTAGAGCCTACTCTGGATCCTGTTCAGGGTCTTTGCGCCCTTGAATGCTGCATGAGTCCACTCAGGCATCTCAGTAATCGGTACAAGCCTCTCTCCGGGGTCCAGAGGGCGCTGCTTGGGTGCTGGAACATGAACCTCCTCGTATCCCTTTTTGGATTTCTTGAACGAACCGTCCGGAAGTTTGACCTTCTTGTTTGCCATCAAGTGGTTGCCTTCCGTGAAGACCAAACTGTCCAGGTCAATGAGCTGTTTGGGAACGAGTGCCACCGGCTCCACCACGGTGGGCTTCATCTCCTGCCCGTCAGCCACAGGCGCGTCGACATCCATGGAATCCGACACAGTCTTGGTCTCACCCCGTACTTCCTTCAAGATCCATCCAAGTCCCTTCTCCTGGATTTCACCCTCGACGCCCTTCTTGGTCTCAGCATCCTCCGCCCTAGCAAGCTTCGTGCACCAAACAACCTTCTCGCGGTTTCGTGTCAATAGTCGCACGAGATCAAACTTGTCGTTGTCGTAGTCGATCAAATCCATGAGCTCGTTTTCAAGCTGACCAAGAGCGATATCTGATTCGAGGAAACGCATGATGGCAGACGTCTTTTCTTGGACCTCTTGAGGGTCGGGGTAGTAGGTCGCGACTGTTCGCTGGAGCCAAAAAGCGTCGATGTCTTGTGCAGCTACCATGTGCTTCTCAGAGTTGTCAGCGGACTTCTTAGCCTTCTTTGCGGCTGGTCGTCCGATCATGGCCATGTCGTCTTCACCCTGACCATCCTCACCCTCGGCGGGTGCTGCTCCCTCAATACCGTCTTCGTCGTCCGAAATGTCGCGGACCTCGTTGTAGCTGTCCTCGTCCTCATCGTCCTCCGCGTCTTCCTCCTCGTCAAAGACCACCGCAACACCCATGTCATCGTCAATTTCTCCTTCTCTCAGCTCACCATCCTCTCCTCTGGTCTTGCCTTCCTCGTCATTTCCGTAGTCGGTGATCTTCTTGCCCAACCCAATCAACTGCGCAAACTTCTCGCTAGACAAGGTGTCACCTAGGATGCTTTCGACCTCCTTCTTGCGATCAAAGTCCTTGAGCGCACCGCTCTTCAAGATCTCCAAGATTGCATCACCAGCTGATCTTACGATATCCTGGGATTGATCGCCCAAGACTCCTTGCACGAACGACAGGATCAATTCGTAGGTCTCCCTGGTCTCCTTCGTTCGCGGACGGTAGGTCAACCCTTCAAGATCTTCCGTCGCGTCCAAGACACTGGTATATCCTCTCCGTGCACCCATTGCCACATTATCATCCCTTTTACGCTTGCGCTGTTGTTGCAATTCATTCTTATTCAACGTTTGTTCGGGCTTCTGCGGCAGCGTGGCGGGTGTACGACCGGCACGAGTACCCATCTCCTTCACATTGATCTTGCCAGCGAGCGTCTCTGGCTCTCCGGTGGGCTCATTGTCGCGACGAGGGAGTGTGCGCCTGTCCGCCGACAGGACAAGGTTGGACATGGCCCCATACTTGTATTGCGAGTGATCCATGGCGGGCGACTGTGTTGCGATTGCGCAAAAGACGGCGCTTCTAGAGGTACTGGCTATGCCTTGAACTGGCTGGGTATATAATCTGCCGTGTAGTACAGTCGCCTCGTCGAAGGGGGGGGGGGGGGGGGGGGG